TTTTAAAGCAGACTCTGGTTTCAGTGCTTTGGCTCAGAAGCAAGATAGAATACCTCTTATGGAAATAGTCCAGATACCCCAAAATGTTTAGACCAAAGTAATTAATTAAGAAAGAAATTGGAATATGGCTTTGGAAAAGGACCTTTCAGATACAGAAAGAAAATGAGGGAAAGAGCTTAGTCATATTGTGGGAGGCGAGGAGACTCTAGGATGAAAGTTAGATACCAGGCCATCTTCTGGGTTGGGAACTGCAGAGGAACTTGGATGTATAATATTTTGTTTTGAGTGGTTTGCCGAGATACAGTGTATCTCCATCACCCAGACTTTCAGTAAAAGTCTGCTGGACCCCACAGACTGGGTTGATAGTACTTTGGAGAAAAAGTAGTCAGGAGAGCGGAGTGTAGCAGCAGGAGGAAAGATGTGCAGGAGAGTAAGAGTTCAGTGCTAACAGGAAATCAAGAGTTACGGTGAATGTGAGGACTTAGAATGTGTAGAATGGTAGGACGAAGAGCTGGGTTTCCTGCAGTGTGTCTCTGTCTTGTTTTCTGCTACTAAAGAAAAGTATAATTGTAGAGTTGACGATTTGGGGAAAAGCAGAAAGGAGACATCTAAGTGGTGAAAGTTTAACCCTCTTTGTACTACAAACTGCTTACATTTATTTTATTATAGTTTTATTAGTTAAAAACTTAGTGCCAACTTTTAATCACTAATTTTGTATATATTGTATATAGTAGTCCCTCCTTATCTGCAGGGGATGTGTTTCAAGACCCCCACTAGATACCTGAAACCTTGGATACTACCAAAAGCTATATATACTACGCTTTTGCAATCTGGTAACAGAGGCAGCTACTAAGGGACTAACAGGCAGGGGGCATATACAGCATGGATATGCTGGACAAAGGGATGATTCATGTCCCAGGCAGAGCAGGACAGTGAGAGATTTCATCACAGGACTCAGAATGGTGTGCAGTTTAAAACTTATGAATTGCTTATTTCTGGAAAATTCCACTTAATATATTTGCACTGCACTGATCGCAGGTAACTGAAACTCTGGAAAGCAAAACCTCAGATAAGGGAGAACTACTGTCCTTTCTACCCAGCTGCTGATATTATTAACTGTAAGCCACGGGATGTGTTTCTCATATGAACAGACGATGAGGGAAAAGATAGTTTTCCATTATCCATAAGTAGGGTATTCACTTGATAGGTTACTTTTACCAATTTAAAATATATGTAATTCTTTTCCATGGGGAAAGACAATATAGCTTAGTTAAGTATAATGGGTTTTGAAGTCAGACAGACCTGGTGTCCATCCCAGTTCCACCAATCATTAGTTGTGAGCCTTGGCCAAATTACATCCTCTTTCTGAGCTGAGGACAGCTGTGGTACCCTTGCCTCACAGGGTTGTTGCAAGGCTTAAGAATCTGCATCATCCATTTACCCCCTAGACTCATCATCCTTCTCAGTTACCATCTTTTGGTGGTTAAATGACAAATTTACCATTAACTCAAAAAACATTAAAAAATTATGATGGGCTCAAGAGCTAAGTAGAACTAACCCTAATAATGCAAGTCCAGCTGAACTGCTGACTTGCTATAAGCAGCACTCCACATTGGCCACTGTGCTGCCCTACCTACCATGACTTGTTCAGAACTGAAAACATTACTAAAGACTTTAAAAACTTTAAAATGTTGCTGTGAAAGGTTCAGACAGAAAGTATACTTTTATCCTCAAGAAATACCAAATGCTTCTTCAGTGTGTTTAGTTATTTTAATGTGTGGGTTGAGGTTCCATCATGATCTGCAAAATATAGTGTATAGTCTTGACGGAATGAATCAGAAGAGACTGCATGTGAAAATGAATCAGAGGGCACTGCAGCCTGAATGTTCCCAAGTGGGGCAGGGGTGTATTCAGAGAGAGGAGTGAATGAGGCATTCATCAGCACACTGGGCTGACCTGGGGGTAGATTCTAGAAGAGGGATTATAGTTCCACAGTGACGGATCTCCAGCCTGAATTAGATGAGCACAGTTTTCTGGCTAGAAGAAATAGAATAAGTTAGACTTGCGTAACCAGTGGTTTGGTTCTCCATCAACATTTGGTTGCTGAACAGTATTTCTGCCTTTGTGGCTACAGGTTTTATTGTTGTGGTGAGGGTAGCTGGATTTCCTGTTGTTCCCATTGTCCATCTTCTTTAACCTCTGCTCACTACTTACTTCCCAGCTCAGCCTTGCACCAGGCACAAAGAATAGTCCTTTACCTTGCAAAAATGTGAGGAATGCTATCAAAGGAGCCCAGGTGGGGTTGGTAAGTGATGGGACAGGAATTGGTTTGCCTAGAGATTGACGTGACTAGGAGTCAATGGTCATTGGAATCCAGATGTTCCCTTTTGAGGCTACTCAGCTGTAGTAAAGACAGGATCAAGAGAGGGATGCTATTGAGAGATTGAGGGAAAGAAAACGGCAGACAGATCAGAGCCACAGTGTCAGGATAGTGGGGAAACTTATTAGTGTTGTGTTAGGCTATATACTAACATTCAGACAGTTAAGGTAGCAAGAAGTTTAGGTACCAAGAGACAGGCCTCAGTCATGAATAAGGCATCAGGCTAGGTCCCAGGCCTAGAGAACAGAAAAGCCTTCCAAGTCTTGGAATTGGTATGAGGTGGAAATTTGGTTAGAGTGGAGTCTGAGCCACCTGGGCTCCTTTGATAGCATTCCTTACATTTTTGCAAGGTAAAGATAGGACTATTCTTTGTGCCTGGTGCAAGGCTGAGTTGGGAAGTAAGTAGTGAGCAGAAGTTAAAGAAGATGGACAATGGGAACAACAGGAATTACAGAATCTTTCTGTTTATTATGGTAATTTCTCTGGCATAAACATATTTTCGGTTAAAAAAGTGTTATTGTTTTGAAGGAATATATTTATGCAAACTGTGTTTAGGTTAAATAACAGTTCCCTGCCTCACCTGTCCTTATCTTGAATCTCACTCCCTGTCATTTCAACTCTTTAGCTTTTTTTTTTTTTTTTTGCTGCTTACCTTTATGTTTCTACATAACATGCTTATAATATTATTTCTTGATTTTTTTTTTCAATATTGAACATAATCTGGAAACTTCACACTGGCAAAGATTAGAGTTCTGTTATATTCTCTACCCACCCTTTCCTCTTCTTCACCACCAGACACTCGTCCTTCCCCAAATAGTTAATCTTTTAAATAAAATTTGACAATTATTAACTATGGAAAGTATTTTTGTTCGGTTATTATGATTGCATGTACCATGATTACTTTTCTTTCTCATAAATCATTTTGTTTTTCCTGAACTTAATGACTTTAATTTTTTTTTTCCCCCACAGTAACCTCTCTATCTCTGGTAGAATTATAAAACTCATAATGCTCTAATAGCATTTTCTTTTTCACCTTGGAGACATCCCTCCACCTTTGCTTTGTAGGCATGCTACACTGCTGTCTAGAAAGGTTTCTCACCTCCTTCCTGTCTGTGTAAGATTCCTGGTTCCTAAATCCTGAGTTCTTGTTTTGGAGGCATATCTTCCAGTAGCTTTCTGAGAAAACCAGTATGGGAGGTAAAATATTTTGAGAGCTTTACATGCTCCAAAACTTCCCTTTTGCTCCCCTTGCCTCACATTTCATTCACGGTTGGGTATTGAATTCTTGCTTGAATGTTACTTTCCTTCAGAACTGTGAGGGCATCGCTCCATTGTCTTAACAGTTTTTGGTGTTGCTTCTGAGAATTATGATGCCATTCTGATCCCTGTTCTATTGCATATAAACATGTTCTTTTCTAGAAACTTTTAGACTCTTTCTTGTTATTCTGAAATTTCAAGATGAAGGGTTCTACAGTAGATATTTTGTTGATCATTATTCTGGGCACTTAATAGATCCTTTCAGTGTGAAATTTTCTTGTGATTTTTTTTTTTGAAATATTTTTATCTTGTGATTTCTCCATTCTCTCTGGATATTTGACCTCTTGAAACAATCCTCTAATTTCTTATCTTTTTCCCCTTCTGATTTTCTCTTTGCTTTTTTCTTCTATTTCCTAGAAAATTTCTTCATTTCTAACATTCAATCCTGCTTTTGAAGGTTTTTCTTTTTTTTTTTTTAATTTATGGTACCACATTTTTGGTTTCCAAGATATTTGTTTGTTTGTTTTTTGAATAATGCTTTCCTATAGCACTCTCTTTCTAGTTCATGAGTGGAAATATCTTCTTTGTTTCTCAAAAGACTTTTAAGAAACTTTGCTCCCTGCATGATCTGTTTTTTCAGAGTTCATTTCCTTCTGTTTATGTTGCTGTTTCCTTTTCATGTTTAAGTTTTCCTCACACGTAGGGTGATCCTTGTCTGGCCTTTTACTTTTAAGGGTGAGGTGCTAAAATGTGAGTGGAGCTGTGTGTGTGTGGGTGATTCTTGTTGACTGGTAGGAAGCTGGACATTTCATTGAGGAACACACAAATGTCACTATCTGTGGGTCTTGTCTTTTGGGCCAGTTTTCCCAGAGAGAAATCCTTCTATTTCCTCACTGTATACATACAAGACTGGGTTCCAGAACTGAGGGGAGAAAGCTGTTTAGAATTCTGGGTGTGTTTGTGTGTGGGGGGAGAGAGTCTCATTGTTCCAGGCAGGGTTTCGCTCACTCCCGCTAGTTTTAGGAATATGTTTCATTTCCACTCAACATTTAGGCCTCTTGGATGGAACATCTCCAAATAGTATAGGCTTCTGCTTGGAGAGAGAAACACCAGGCTCATGGCTGTATAGGTTCAGAGAACATCTGGGATGTGTGTGCTACTATAGTTATGTATGTTACCCAGGGTCTCCAAATGTAAATCGATAAGAGTTTAGAAATATGTGAAATTTATAATCTCTATAAATATTCAGATTAAGTGGTTCTTGTTAAAAAATAAAACTGCCCAGGAAGATAATCCTGTGTAATGGCAGCAGTATTCCTGTTTCTGGGTTGTACATTTTCTTCCTCCAATTTGTCTCTTTCAGAACAAATTGGAGCTCTGGCAGATCAGCATATCATTCATGTGGCATGTGGCGAGTCCCACAGTCTGGCCCTCAGTGACCGAGGCCAGCTGTTTTCTTGGGGTGCAGGGAGTGATGGTCAGCTAGGACTCATGACTACTGAGGATTCTGTGGCAGTGCCCAGGTAAGAAGGTTTTCAAATGTCAGTCGTTTTAAATACTATTTCCTGCTGTTGATTTGTTAGACTCCTTGTTTTTCTTCTGTTTTCTTCATTTAATTGCTATTTCCTTTGTGCCACTCCTGTGCCTTATACTATTAAAACACTTGTCACAAAAGTTGCAATTACTTATAGAAGTGTCTGTCTCTGGTTCAAAAATGTGAGTCAGTTGGGAACTGTACTTTATTATTCTAGTAGCCTGGTTGCTCGCTGAGCGCCTGGCAATTGATAAATGTTTGAATAAAAAAATCATCTTTCACATTGTAGGCTTATTAACTTTTGACTGAAAATTGCAAGTCTGAATTACTCAATTAAGTTCTTTAAAATATAATCACAAGGCTGACCTGTTACTCTAATGATAGGCCAAATCACCTTAAGCATTACAAACAGCTAAAATACCAGATATACATAGATTCTTTAATGTAAAAGTATCAATACAGTAGGTTTTGAGTCTCTTAAAGATTTACTTAAATCTGAACCTTAGATGATTTAGCTAAGTATCTAATAGTTGCCACTAAGAGAACATCCCAAATATTGTAGTTACTTTCAGATGGACTTTTTAGTGGTGGTGTCTCAGTTTGTTGACGGTTCTTAATGATCAAAGAGCTGCCATTTTATTTCCTCTATTTAATTCTTACTCCTTTATGCTATATACCACTACTGTGGAACACATTCTTTGTAATTGTTGATTTAATATCTGTTTTTACTACAAAGATGTGAGCTATTAATGGCAGGATAATTGGATGATTTATTTTAGCATCACCATTGCTAGGAGTGCCTGTCACATACAGTGCTCAGCACAAATTTAATAAGTGGCCTCTCCTCCTCTGCCTAATTATTGTCCCCTTTAAAGGACAGCATATTCTTCTTCCTCTTCTTTCTTGCCCTTCTTGGATTGTTGTCTCTTTAATCAAAAGTTGTGTTAAATAAGAACATGGAGGTAAGAGTGTTTTGATTCATTTCCTGATTTAGGACAGGTAGTGTCTTAGATTCATTTCTTCCAAAAATTAATTTAATTTTGTGGGGAGAGGAAGAGTGGCAGTTAGAAAAAAGAAGTGCTAGATGTTATGTTGTGTGTAATATTAGGGAAAATGTTCATAACATTAATGGCAAAAATATTTCATTTGTTGATGACCAAAACACAATTAAGGTTTTTAATGGCATTTCATTTTTAAAAATGAAGTAATCTGTGCTACAGTAGTAGCTTAATACTCATTAGTTATGTTCAAATTATGAATGACTTCCAAGACTTTGTATATAGTTTTTTATTATAAGTTAATTGAAATAAATTCATTAATTTATACCTTTGTATTGTGGAAAGTAACATAGCTTTGATGTCAAACAAGCCTTGGATTCTAATACTGGCTCTTTTACTTCTAAGGTGAATGACCTTGGGCAGGTTGTTTAACTTTTCTAAGCCTCAGTTTCCTAACTTAAAAATGGAATTACTTACTGTGTACCTTATAGAGTTGTGGGGAGGATGGAAGGAGACAAGTAGGTAAAATACAGTATGTGCTTGCACTGTGTGAACCCCCTCTTCCCTACCTCAAGGGTACAATTTCTCTATTATCTTTGTTCTTTTGACCTGCTTCTTTTCTACAACTGATAGTGACAAGAGTAATGGCGATGGGGAATTTGAGTGTAAACTTGATAGGAAAAAGGGTTGTTGCTATATAGCAACCTGAGAAACATTGGTCTCTTAGGCAGTAATGCATTTTTCAATTTTAGAAAATAGTGCTGTTCTATAAACTATTGATTAACACAACTTGGGTGAATATCCAGGGAATTAGTCTGAGTGAAAAAAGCCAATCCCAAAAGATTACCTACTGTACGATTTCATTTATATAGCATTTAAAAAATAACAACATTTTCTCAATGAAGGATAGATTAGTGGCTGCCAGGGGTTAGGAACAGGGGAAGGGGAGGAGTGGTTATAAAAGTTTAATAGGAGGAATTCTCATGGTGTTGGAACTGTTTGGTATCATGACTGTGGCAGAGTGGATACACTTACACGATAAAACTAATACCCAGAAATGAGTACAAGTAAAACTGGAGAAATATGAATGTGATTGGTAGATTGTATTAATGTTAATATCTTCAATATCCTGGTTATAATATTATATGTAATTTTGCAAAATGTTATAATTAGGGGAAACTGGACAAAGTATATAAGGGATTTCTCTATATTATTACTTACAATTGCACATGAATCTGTAGTTATAAGAATAAAAAAAGTTAATTTATATTTGGTACTAAACACTAAATGTGTTTGTGAACTCTATTCTAAATTTTTATATCTGAGAAAATAAAACATGAACAAAAGCATTATCTAAGTGTCGATCTAAATAATCCTCTGTCCTCTCCCCCAGAGGATATCTATCTTCAAAGATACCCCTCTTCCAAGGGGTATCCGTCCGACCCCTTAGTTTCCATGGCACAATACACTTAGGGAAGATGAACGTGACAACTTGTCAACTATTCAAATAGAGAGCAGGAGGTATTCCCAGGGTGCCCAGCTTTCTTGGGTAGTGCCAAGCACTTTAACTGGAATTTTTCATTTAATTCTCACCACAACTCTAAAATAGGTGCTGTTCTCTCTCTTTCACATGAACAAGCAGGGGAGTAAGATTTGAAAAGAAATCATGTGACCCTTCTCTTTACCATCCTAGGAATTTCGGGTTTTGGAGGCATGGCTCTTATTATTTTTCTTAATTGTGGTAAAATACACATAACATAAAATTTACCATCTTAACTATTTTTAAATGTGTAGCTCAGTAGTGTTAAATATGTTCACGTTGTTGTATAACCAATCCCTAGAACTTCCTTTTTTCTTACTTTTTTTTTTTTTTTGAGACAGGGTCTCACTCTGTCTGTAGTCCAGGCTGGAGTGTGGTGGTGTGATCACAGCTCACTGCCTCGAACTCCTGGACTCAGCTGATCCTCCCACCTCAGGCTTCCAAGTAGCTAGGAATGCAGGCTCATGGCACCGCACCCAGCTGCTTTTGATAGTTTCTGTAGAAACAGGGTCTTGATTTGTTGCCCAGGCTGATCTTGAATTCCTGGCTTCAAGCGATTCTTTCGCCTTGGCCTCCCAAAATGGTGAGATTACAGTGATGAGCCACCGCGCCCGGCCTCTATAACTTTTTTATCTTGCAAAATTGATTTCTATGAATTTGACTACAATAGATACTTCATATAAGTGGAATCATACAGTTTCAGCTTTTTGTGACTGGCTCATTTCATGTAGCATAATGTCCTCTAGGTTCATCCATGTTAAAAGCATGTGTCAGACCTTCCTTCCCTTTTAAGGCTGATTAATATTCTGTTGTGTGTGTGTACCATATTGTATGTATATACCCAGAAGTGAAATTGACATTTCACTTATTTTGGATGGTGGCATTTCTGTTATTTTGAAAGCCACATAGACACCAACCATATTCTTAGGATCTTTCTTCTGTAGCTCTTTCCATTTGGCCCTGAACTGAAGAAGACAAGGTGAGAAATAATGGAGGATTGTGGCAATGGGTCTAAATGCAAAAGTGTTTTTTTGTTGTTGTTGTTTTAAACAGTAACTACCTAAGAGACAGGAGGCTGATGAAAGACCTAATAGAATTATATCATGTAAGATTATATATTTGATTTAAAAAAGAGTTTTTTTTGAGGGGGTGGGACGGGGGACAGAGTCTTGCTTTGTTGCTCAGGCTGGAGTGCAGTGGTGCGATCTTGGCTCACTGCAACTTTTGCCTCCCAGGTTTAAGCAATTTTCCTGCCTCAGCCTACCGAGTAGCTGGGATTACAGGCATGTGCCACAATGCCTGGCTATTTTTTTTGGTATTTTTAGTAGAGATGGGGTTTCACCATATTGGCCAGGCTGGTCTCAAACTCCTGACCTCAGGTGTTCGTCTCGGCCTCCCAAAGTGCTGAGATTACAGGTGTGAGCCACTGTGCCCAGCCTTAAAAAGACTTTTAGGCAAGATGATGTTATTTATTATTGATATTTTATTTAGTTGGGGATATTTCTGATAATTGTGTTTGTGTGTGAATATCTATCTGAAAAAGAAAGCCTTTTCTGTTTTAGGTTAATACAAAAGCTGAACCAGCAAACAATATTACAAGTTTCCTGTGGCAACTGGCATTGCTTGGCTCTTGCGGCTGGTAAAGTAACATTAAACATATGCTAATGCTATGTTAATTTTGAAAACTTTCTCTTTGTCTTTTTGTGTGATATTATCTAACTCAAAACTTTGAATTAACTGGTTAGGGTCTATGCATTGCTGTTGGACAGTGACAGTTCTCAGATGGGCTTTGCATAGCTCATCCTTTTCTCAGGGTGTGGATGATGAAGTAGGTGGTCATCACTGCTGCTCCAACTTTCACAGGGGAAGATGAGCAGGGGTCAGGACCATACCTAGGTGTTCTGAGCATGGAGAAGATTGATTTTTCTTAGCGACAGCCAACTCTCAAGCTACATTCCACTATCAAGCTCCCAAATAAATGGAAAAGGAGTTGGAGAAACCTAAATAAATCTGCACTTCTGTGTCCTGCTTGATTATCTGCAGAGCAGACCAAGTGGTCATAGCTGGACCTCCTGAAGTCTTGGGTCTCATAGTCTTAGTATGGTCAGAACTAGTTGATCTTGCTTAAGCCTGGTAATTGGCCTGTTTGAAATTGAATTTACTTATACATTTAATATTTTCTGTGTATAAATTTTAATAGCCTTTGAAGGGCAGTAAGACTCAGCTTATCTCTCTGTTATCACTTGGGAGTTTGGGTTTTGGCAGTCTGACAGCATGAAGTGTCTCTGTTCTTTGCTCTTGGGTGGGTTTGGTGTTGGGGGGCAACTGGCAAATGACCCTAATAACTTGATTATTTTTGTGTGTGGAGCTTGTATCATTTTATGGTAATACCAGTTATCCTGTTATTTCAGATGGCCAGTTCTTCACCTGGGGAAAGAACAGCCATGGGCAGCTTGGCTTAGGGAAGGAGTTCCCCTCTCAAGCCAGCCCGCAGAGGGTGAGGTCCCTGGAGGGGATTCCACTGGCTCAGGTGGCTGCTGGAGGGGCTCACAGCTTTGCCCTGTCTCTCTCAGGAGCTGTTTTTGGCTGGGGGATGAATAATGCAGGGCAGCTGGGGCTCAGTGATGAAAAAGGTAGGTAAACCCTTCATATGTATGTATTTAGTTTAAAAGCACATTCATTTAACACATGCTTCTTGAGGATCTACTATGTGCTAGCCCCATGTGAGATACTAAGGGAGCAACAGTGAACAGAATAGAGAACATCCTTGTCTTAGTGGAGACTGTATTCTAGTGAGTGGAGGTGCAACAAAACCAGTAAATACACAGGGTTTGAGAGTGCAGCTTCCTGCTTTACATAAGGTGGTTACGAAGGGCCCCTCTGATAAGAAAATGTTTGAGCAGAACCTGTAGGAAATCAGGTGGGAAATGGGACATGTAGATGTCTGGGTGAAAAACATTTCTGTCAGAGGGAACTGGGTGTGCAAAGGCACTCATGTGGGAAGAGATGTAGTTGGAGAGAACGGGAAGAGTAGCACAGCTGCAGGTCAGAGAGGTCGTGTAGACCCAGTTATGCAGGGCCCTGAGGGGCATGGTGAGGATTTAGCTGGTTTTCTCAGTGAGAGGGGAAGACCCTGAGGGTTTGGAGGAGAGGTGTGATCCACTTTGGCTTTGGCTGTAGTGGGTCAAGGGGGAAGCTGGAAGACCAGCGTGGAGGTTGTGGGAGTAAAGTCAGATTTTAAATGTATTTTGAAGAGGAGGCCAGTTGGTTTTGTTCACTGCTGGATGTGTGGTTTGAAATAAAGAAACAGCTGGAGGGGCAAAATGACTGTTTCTGAAATGGGGAAAACTATGTGTGTGTGGTAAAGTGAGCTGGAGAGTGGGCAGGGTTGGAGAGTGTAGGGAAACCATGGGGTAGGTTTTTGGTAAATTAAAACTGAGAAGTCTGTTGGGTATCCAAGTACAGATGCAGGCAGGAAACAACATGTGTCAGGAATCCAGGAATCCAAAATTCATGCCAAGATAGTTGTGTGTATTTCATCTCAAAGTCAAATGGTAGTGATACTCTGATATTTAATTTATTCTAGATCGAGAGTCTCCATGCCATGTAAAACTCTTACGCACACAAAAAGTTGTCTATATTAGTTGTGGAGAAGAACACACAGCAGTTCTCACAAAGGTAAGGAGCTCAGAGGATTCTACTTTGGTTCTGGGTGATTAGAATTGCTTGATTATTTTAGTGTAGTGATGGTGTGTGATTACAGTATTGTGGCTTGAACTCGAATGCTCTCTTTCATGTTTGTTGTTTTCCAAAGGAGTAGAAAAAGACTACTTTTTTATATGTCTCTGTTATCCTCTTTGGTAATCTTATAGAGTGTCTTAGTAGCATTTAAGAATAGTTCAACATAAATAACTTTAAAATATAGGACAGTAGATACATGTGTGTATATATATCCTATGTTCCTTTAAAACAAGTCATTTAAATATATAAAAAAGAAACAGCAATTTAATGTTTTAAAATAATCGTGTTTCTTTTGCTTCTAAATATATTCTAGAGAGAATGAAAATGTATTTTTATACTGAGCAAATATTATTGTAGGTTCACTTTCATAAAATGCCTTAACATTTATTTAAATTATTTAAATACAGCTGTTAAAAAAAAAAAACAGCTTACTTACCAAGGAATTTGTAGGAGCACTTAATTTCTTATATGTGAATGATATGTAAAATCATCTCATTTATCCTAGCTCATTGTTTCTCCTTTTTTAAAATTTTGCTTCCTAACACATCATCATACTTTTAAACAATTTTTTAAATTTACAGAAGGCACACATTCCTTTGAGCAGTGCTATCTTTGTTCCATAAAGATGCAGTCTGAAATTCCCTTTTTATTATTTTTCTATTTAATGAACATCCTTACAAAGTGATTTTGGCGAAGTGTCAAGTGAATGTAGTGCTCTTGTGCACATTGTTGTGATAGGCGTTTTGTATACAGGTTTTAGAGGTGTACCCTTAAGGATACAGTGAAGTCATATGGTGTTTGTTCTTTGTTAGAGTGGAGGTGTGTTTACTTTTGGCGCTGGTTCCTGTGGGCAACTTGGACATGACTCCATGAATGATGAGGTTAATCCTAGAAGAGTTCTAGAACTGATGGGTAGTGAAGTAACTCAGATTGCTTGTGGCAGGTGAGTGCTCCTCAAAGCTTCCTTGTATTCACTTGGACCCAGAAATGGGTCTTGTCTTGTAGTGATGAAGAATGTGATTATACCTAGTGACCGTCATTTTAAGAGATCTTAACTGCATGCATGCCTGTGGTGAAATGTGGAGAAAGACCTTGGTAGAGTGTGGCAAGGAAGGGTTTTAGATAAGCAGAGCAACATGGAGAGATTAGGCTTCTTTTGGGATAAAGAGTAGCAGGATGTGGGGAAGGGATAAAGAAAGGAAAATAAGAGAGTCCCAAAGAACTTCTTGGAAATTTTTGCCTGAGTCTACCCTGCTTCTCTCCGTTCATCTCAGAGGCCACATGCAGCAGATCATTCAGCTCTTCGCTGACTTGCCGCCCTCCTCATGATCTAGAGTATTAGAGAAGGATAGTATTATGGAGAGCAGCCGCTGCAAGAAGAATCACGTGTTAACATGGGGAAGGCTCTATAGGAGCACCCTGTGCTGTGCACATGTGGAAGTTAAAAGTCAGAGTCAGAGTGTACATCCACATTAGTAGAAACTATGCTGATGAGTTAAATTATTTTTTCACAGACAACATACCCTAGCCTTTGTGCCTTCTTCCGGACTCATCTATGCATTTGGTTGTGGAGCAAGAGGTCAATTAGGAACTGGGCACACTTGTAATGTCAAGTGTCCATCTCCTGTCAAGGGTTACTGGGCCGCCCACAGTGGCCAGCTTTCAGCCCGAGCTGGTAAGAATGATCGTCTCTGGAATTTAATGGTATTTTAAGTGATGAAAGCAGTTGTTTACAGAATATGTATCTGTTACTTACTTTGAGGTCTTTTGGAGGGAATGAAGATAAGGTATTTTTTAACATGAATTAATAATTTCAATACTTACTATGCATGAAACTTTATAGTTGAGGTCTTAGACAATAAATAAGGCAGGAAATACTGTTGTGTTAGGCTGTTCTTGCATTGCTATAAAGAGCACCTGAGACTGGGTGATTTATGAAGAAAAGAGTTTTAATTGGCTCACGGTTCTGCAGGCTCTACAGGGAGCATGATACAGGCATCTGCTTGGCTTCTGGGGAGGCCTCAGGAATCTTACAATCATGGCAGAAGGCGAAGAAAGAGCAGACACTTCACATGGCAGAAGCAGGAGCAAGGGAAAGAGTGGAGGGGAGGTGCCATACATTTTACACCACCAGATCTCATGTGAACTCAGAGCAAGAGCTCACTTCTCAGCAAGGGGAGGGCCCAAGCCATTCATGAGGGATCCGCTCGCATGATCTAAACACATCCCACCATGCCCCACCTCCAACATTGGGGATTACTACAATTCAGCATGAGTTTTGACCAGAACATACATTCAAACTCTACCAGTTACTTTGTTTTCACAGACCTTGGTGGTGGTGTGTACATTTTATTGTTGTTGCTAATAATGATAGTTTGCATGTACTGAATGCTTAATGATGTTTCATTACTATGCAAAGCACTCAAAATAGCCTAAGAACTAGTTAGTGGTTGTTATCCCCATGTTAGAGATAAGGAACGAAGTCTTAAGGAGGTCAAGTAATTTGCCCAAGGTCACATAGATTCTGGAGGCAGGAATTTAAACCCAGGTCATTCTAAATCCTGTGCACTATGTTACCTCTACTTTGCTATTTGTGTTTTGGTACATAACACGATGTGATTTCTTTTTATGCCATTTTTTTTCTTCCCTTAAAAAATAATTAAATAGCAGTCTTGGTTTCACTGGAAATCAAAGTAAGGCAGTCATTAATATTGAATGACTGCTTCACCTTGAAATAATAAATCTGAGGCTGAAATGGAGCTAGAGAATCATTAAAAGGAAGTGTAATTTAGTAATTAATTTTGATTTTGAAGTCGATGAAGTGACACACTTATGGCTTGATCAGGAATTTGTTTGAAACAGTAACCATCATAAGTTTTAATACTGGATTATAAGAAACTCAAGGACACAGACAAACTCTTTTCCTTTTTGTAAACCTAGCATATAGCACAGGACCTGGCATGAACTTGTCACTCAGTAGACGTTTTTGGAATGAATATATGAGCATCTGAAATGTAGTGCAACTTAAAATATAAATAAACAAGATTTTGTTTGGGTGATGTTCCCAAAAGCAAAAGAATGGCTTTGTGTCCTCTTCTCTGTAATTTGTAAATTCTTTTCTCCAAAACATTGTACTCACACGTGGAATACATTTATTTAGGAAGTTTACCAACTCAAGTATTTTTTGGTTATTTTGAAAGCGCAAATTTTTGAAGTTGAATTATAATGGTCCTGACTTCCATGGTCCTAAATTTGTGCTTGGATGTTTGCCAAAATGATTTTATAACATAAGCAGGTAAATGTCAGTTATGTAAATGACATGGTTTTAGGAACCCTCTTGGTAATGTGGGAGCACAGAGGAAGGCATGGAGGAGTATTGTGGTTAGAGGAAGTTTGAGCTGTGCCTCGAAGGATGATTTAGAGTTAGCCAGGTGTAGAGGACTGTGAGGGAGTTGGTGTGAGCACCACCAAGGTGCAGCTCCAGAAGCACATTCAGGTTATGCTCCTGGTGGGCACATTCATGGAGAATCCCGTGTGCCAGGGACAGCAGAGGGAGGAGGCACCAAGATGTGAAATAGTGTGGTGTATTAGAAATAAAGGCAACATGGTAGTAGGAGACTGTCGCCATGGACACAGTGTAATGGGAGGTGAAGCAGGGAGCAGGAAATGGAGGTCCTTCCATGGCAAGATTCATCCTGAAGGGGCGTGGGTCCACCACACTCACATGCTGAATTATTTGTTACCGTAAAGAATAGTGCCCATTTCAGATTTCAGGTCAGTGGCATGCCAGAGTTAGAATGAAAAAGAGAAACAAGGTCAGGATTCGCTGGCAGTTGGGGAGGGGCAGAAGAAGAGTTAGAGTGGAGGATACCATTTTATATATTTATTTTTAATTGAAGTAGAAACAGTCCTAGGCAATGAGCCAGGGGAGAAGATTTCTTACTTCTGTGACACAATTAAAATGGATAGGTACCCACTCTGAAGCATATTCTGCAACAGTAGAAAAGCGGATCAAGGAGAAACTTCAATTATTGAAAAATATGCTTTCGGAATTTTTTTTGACAGATCGCTTTAAATATCATATCGTTAAGCAGATCTTCTCTGGAGGAGACCAGACTTTTGTACTTTGCTCCAAATACGAGGTAAAATTTTTCTTGTGACTCTTATTTCCAGGGAGGAATAATGGTGAACCAATATTTGTTTTAACAAGTAATTGCAACATAAAGAGCAATGTTACTCTTTGTTTCTACCAATCTTATGTTATTTCTAAAATAAACAAATTAAATCTGGAAGAAGTTGTCTCCATTTGGCTCCCTTGAAGTGCCAACAGTTCTCCTGGTATTATGGAGTTCTAATTTATAATTTGAAATTATTTATTTATATTTGTACTTGTTCCAGAAACACTGTAAAGGATGCCTAGGGAGTTTGTACTTTGGCATTATTTGATTTTCCATTTCTTTTCTTCCCTGTTAAGTGGCAACAAATGCTAGGTATTTGAGAACTTGGTGGGTTTCTTTGATGTGATCGAGTGTGTGTGTGTGTGTGTGTGTGTATATATATATGTAAGAGATACCACAATTTTCAGATGTATTTTGTTATTTATAATCTGCTCATGATGTGACACCAAAATTTCCCTCCTATTGTCTCCCGCATCACTGTAGTGGATAAAGACAGTGTGACATTGTCTTTCTGCTTGAAGGTAGAGTATGGATCCAGGACTCTGTGACAGGGCTCGAATTCCTTCCACTCTTCCTTACTGGGGGAATTCAGTCTGAAAACAGCTGCACAGATTTGTTGTCAGTGCTGCACTCCTTCCCCTGTGTTTTCTTTCCTCTCTTCTCTTTTCCTTCCCCACCCTTCCTGCTTTTATTCAGCAAGCATTTCAACAGGACCAGCTCTGAGTGGTGCATGGATGCTTATGCTCTCCTGGAGGAGCAAGGGAAGGGGCTGTTAGTGATGATAAAGGAGTCAGAATTGACCAGGAAGAAAATGAACAACTATGGAAACCAGGGGCTCTTTTGGTCTTGGAAACTTTCTCTGTTAGTTTGATACTTAGCTGTCTTTAAGTACACAAAGTTTTTGCCTTCTAGTCACTCTGGTTCTGTGATTCTGTTGGAAAAGGTCCTGGTGGAGCCTGAGGCTGTAGGCTGGACAGCTAAAGCTGATGATGAGCTATTTTCCAGGTCAGGTGCCTGAAGAAGGTGGCTTAGTGCTGCCATCTGGAGTGATTTGGAACTGCTGCCTTAGCAGCAGTTTATTTTAGACCCAGCCTCAGAATGTGTGTTACAGAGAAATCCTGAGGAAAGCTGAGGTTATTCTTTGTTTCTTCAAGATGTCAATAAAACAAAATACAAAAGGCACTGACTTTGTGGAAGATAATCAGTTTTTGTCAATAGGTAGTGGCATTTTAAGTATTTATTTCCCCTAGTAACTGACTAGAATAATAGTATCCAACTTTAATTTTCCTGTGAAATTTAACATGAAACTTAGTTTTCTTTTATAAATACAGTATCTGATATATGTAACTTATATGTAACTGATTTTTATTATTGTAATTAACACTGTTGGGCCTGGAAAACAACACGCTGATGAGAAGGAAGTAAAGTAGCATACTATTAGAGAGACAAGACAAGTTAAAGTTTAAACAACTGGAAAGAGGGAGAGGTACCCATAGCATAAGATCACAAAAAAAAAAAAAAAGAAAAAGGAAAGTAAACATTACTTAAGAAGATGTTACTCTTAAAAAGCTGGACAGAGAATGACTTTGACGAGTTGAGAGAAACTGAAACCTATACACATTTACTTAAACTATTAACCAGAGATGATTATTTAGATACAGAGGCCAATCAAATCGTATATTTACCCTGTTACCATATCACTTAAAGAACCAAGAAAAAGCACCTGTATAGTTACAGCCTCTATGTTTTTTGTTTGTTTTTGTTGTTTTTTTGAGACAGAGTCTCACTCTGTTACCCAGGCTGGGGTGCAATGCCATCATCCTGGCTCACTGCAACCTCCGCCTCCTGGGTTCAAGCGATTCTCCTGCCTCAGCCTCCTGAGTAGCTGGGATTACAGGCGTCCACCACCACGCCTGGGTAATTTTTTTGTATTTTCAGTAGAGACAGGTTTCACTATGTTGGCCAGGCTGGTTTTGAACTCCTGACCTCAAGTGATCTGCCCTTCTCAGCCTCCCAAAGTGCTAGGATTACAGGCGTGATCCACCACGCCCGGCCACAGCCTCTATTTTTATAAAAGGCTGACTCATTCATTACTGCCAGGCCTTAGGTGAAAGAAGGGAGGGAAGGAGTTATAGTCAGATACCCCTTTGCTACATTGATTCTAGGTCTTGGGAATTTAGTGAATGTAAACCATAGCATCTCCTTTTCCTTTCATTTTGTTCCCTTGATAGAATTGAAGAGGGAATGTGGTTGGGATTGTTACAATTGTGTGTGTGTGTGTGTGTGTGTGTGTGTCTATCTCATAATCTTTTTCCTGGAACAGTGATTCTTAAGCTTGGCTGCCTACTGGAATCACCTGGGAGCTCTATAAAATACTGATGCCTCTAGAGATTCTGATTTAATTGGTCTGGAGTATGACTTGGTCATCAGGATTATCGAACATTCCCATGGTGATCCAAAGTCCAGCCAAAGTTGAGAAACACTGACCTAAGAGCAATTTTTCCTTTTTTGCCTGTATGTATTAAAGACAGGAAGAATGATGTTTTTTCTTGGTTCTTTAAGTGATTCTGAACTTGTGCTTCACCCAAGGCATCTCTGGTTTATTGGACATATGATAAGGATTGAGAAAATAGTTCCAAGTCTATATTTTATTGTAGGTTTATGTTAGAATTGATGTTCAGCTGCCCCTTTGAATGGGGGAAATAAATAAAATTTACACAACAACAATGGTTTTAAAATGAGGTAGAAAGACAATCTGTGTGTGTACTCCAGCTTCCCTGTATGTACTTCAAGATGATTTTTGTTCTCTCCATAGATATCTATGGCCATTTTAGTAGAATAGTTATCAATAACCAGATGATCACAAACTTTGTCAAGCATCTGTTTTATTACATGCTCTACTCCTTCCTCCCATAATGATACCTTAACTTGAAGCTATGGGAAAGTAACCAAGAAAATTTACTTCGAAAGTTTTGTTTTTATGTGTAGGTACAAAGGAGAAAAAAATGATCTCATGAGCTGATGAATGAGTGCTTTAATATTACCTTTTTCGTCTTCACTGGAGACAAGGAGTATAAAGCACCATCAACTTTTTCTTAGTTCTTGATCAAGAACAAGGTTTGGGGAAAATAAGTTGAAAACAAGCAATTTTAGAAAAGGAAAGTGCTTATTATGTTTTTTTTTTCTTTAATCTCACTGAATAAAAGATGCAGTCTTGGGCAGCATTTGGAATTTTCAAGGACATACATTATTGACGTCTTTTTCTGCCATTTTTCTTATAATAGCTGTATACTTGAAGCAAGAAGTTAAGAGTCATTGTTTTTATAGGTTATTTGTCATATAGATTATAACTGAACTCTGACTCTTTTGTAATACATTTTGTTGAAGTTTGGTGGACATTTATGGCAGGTGACTAAAACCTTAAAAACCTGCTGTTACAGTGATTCAAAGCAAAGGGGAAAGAGGTCTGGGAAAGTTGTACTGAGTTGATTTCTCTGGAAAACAGACCCGAGACTCAAAGGTTTTTGGGAGAGTGCCCTCTAGAAGAACATTTACTGAGGGATGAAGGAAGCGGGATTGGGCAGAGGGAGGGGCTGAAATGCAGATCAGTTGTAACAGGGGCCTCAGCCAGTCCCATGAGGAGCACTGAAATTGTGAGGTCCTTCAGCCAGTCCTGAGTTGAGGCAAGGGGACTGGACCTTTGCACCATGCCTCTACCTGCCATTGGATGTGATAGTGAAGCAACAGTCAACGCCAAGTCCTGGACAGCAGCCCAGCTGGGATCTGTCAGGAGCTTCCATTCTGAAGGGTGGAGGGGATCTGGGCGGCACACCACAACATTTAGATCATAAGTGAAACATAAAATGGAGAATATGTGGGAGAAAGGAGAGGAGACAAGATCCATGCTACGTAATTTCTTCTTTTTACTGTTACATTTAATTCTCCAGAATTCTTCTCCTGCTGTTGACTTCAGGACTATGAACCAAGCACATTATACCAGTTTAATAAATGATGAAACCATAGCGGTTTGGAGACAAAAACTCTCAGAACACAACAATGCAAATACAATCAAGTATGTGGCTGCTTGTCTTCATTTTTTTTTTCTACAAAGTATGTCTTAACTTCTTAGCTTAGTGTGATTTTCCCTACTTGCATATTGATACTGTGAATATAAATGGGGTTTTGCATTTTAGGGAATCGTGGGTTTTTTTTTTCTTTTTTTTTTTTTTTTTTTTTTTTTTGGGGGGGGGGTTACTATTTCAGGGTTGATCTCCTTAGCCCCAAATAACATAATGGGTGGATCCCCAATTCTTACACACAGTATATGCCTCAACCTGCCTAGTTCATTGTAATATCTTAAAAATCCCGACTGATGAAGGCCTGAGTTGGTGATTCTGCTAAGAGAGCTTAGCGTTCTGGTTGTGTAACTCCCATGGGTTTTAGTGTATGCCTGTTCCAAAACGTCCCAAATCTGAGACAGCTGTTATCTTACCTAATCTTAATAATTTCTAGCATTTTCCTATTCAAAATGATTGAGATGATAATTCAGAGTCAGGTAGAAAAAAAAAATAACAGTAAGTAGGATTGAGACCTTTTATCAAATTTAAAGGATAATTTTCCTTTGCACATTTTTACACATTTTCATTGGCTTTCCTCAGCCTCTCCACTTTTTTCTGCAAAGTCTGATTCTTGGGAAGAGTAAATCAAGCTCTGTGCACTAAGTTGTGGTTATCCCCAGAAACGTACATAATGGTTCCTGCATTATGACATAGATTGTAGTGGGCCAAATGACCAGGACTCTAAACTTTGAGGCACTTGAGCTAGTAATTTTTTGAGCAAGAGAGCATTAGGAACACCCTAGAGCAGCTCTGTGGCAGTCTTCAGAATCCCTCACCATAGGATGGCTCTGCCAAGGAACTCAGGCTGGAAGGGTAGCAGGGGAGAGGAGATGAGGGCTAGCTGGGGTCCAGCGAGGGAAACTGTGACATTTTACCATTAGTTGTCTGTTTTATTATTTATAAAATGAATGGATGGAAGAAATGATCTTTAAAGATCTTTCCTGATCTAATTATGTGGTTAACAGAAACTACTGTAATCCCCTCCCCAGGCGTATATTTGTGTTATTCTTTCCCTTTTCCTTGCACTGAATGGAAAGGCCCAGGATTCCTGATGTCCAGTTTCATTTTGGGTCCTCAGAATTAGCTGTTTCCCCAGAGCCTGTATAATAGAAGGTAATGGGAATAAGTGCTTGTTTCGCTTATTTTTTAATTTCCATCTCAGATATGCAGCAAAATAGAAGTAATTTTTCAGTTATTAATTTGCAAAGATAATTTCTGTGTTTGGGAAGTAACAACTTGGCTTCTCTTTTTTGGTTTTATTTTGTGTTTCTCTTTGGAGTTTAGATAGGGCACTTCTTAGATGCTTGGTGGTAGGAAAATGTTCAAGACCATTCTTGGGACAAGAGGTTTTCTTTCAGGAGCTTTGATATTCTTTTTTTTTCCTAACATGGAAAACTTAAGTTCTTCTTCGTTTTGAGATGTGACATCCTGTTTTTCTAAAGCAAATGCACATTTTCCAAAGCTTCAGCTGACTAAGAAAGAGCTGCTATTAATTAAATCCTAGAGTAAATGATTACTTTATTGTTGATGCTTAAATAACCATTTATTTGTAATTATTAAAGGCTTCCCCCACCCTTCTTTTTTTTGAGCAGTGGTGTTGTTCAGATATTATCTTCTGCAGCCTGTTGGAATGGAAGTTTTCTTGAAAAAAAGTAAGTGACTTAGAGCCTTTAAAAACTTTCATGTGTACCTGTAGTCTCAGCTACTAGGAAGGCTGACACAGGATGACTGCTTGAGTTTAGGAGTTTGGGGCTTTAGGATGCTATGATGATGCCTGTGAATAGCCACTGAACTCCAGCCTGGACAACATAGTGAGGCCCCCTCTTTTTAAAAAAAGTTTATTAAAACCCCACATGTGATGCAAATACTTACTCAACAAAGGCTGTGAAAGATTTTTCTTCTCTTTGATGGTGGTTGGCCTTAATTTAATGGGTAAGCTGATGCTTTGCACAAAAATTGGAATGCCTAATAATGGTAATGAGAGGACATCTCATTACCTTTATGAGGAAGAGCAATGCTGATTCATACCTGAATGGCAGAAAAGCAGATTACCGAGAGAGACTGTATCTCTTTCAGTAAGATTTTCAGAGTATTCTAAGATGTGTCGTAATTTTAAATTCTTAGTTCCTCAAATAATCTTCTTGATTTCTTTGGTTTGCTTTCCCATAGTTTTAAAATTTTTATTATTATTTTTAATTTTTTTCTCTCAAAAGGAGTGAATTTAGGGAGTAATTCTAAGGAGGCTTCATGGGCTCCTTGGATTTAGGTCCAGCCCAGCTCACCAGAGAATTATATTTGAGGTTGAACTCCCCAGTAGTAACTAGAATGTTTATTTTCTTAGTCTTACCCCTTCTGCAAATATCTCCCTCAGGAACCTGATGCAGCAAAAGGGTCTTATCATGGGTTTGGATCTTTGGTGATCCCAAGTCCTAATTATTTCTCAGTCCTTTTCTGCCAGTGACCAGGCTAATGAGATCTCAAGATGAATTAGACTTCATTTCTGTGAATCCCACCCCTACCCCTCGATCCCTGTGTTAGTCAAGGTTCTTCAGAGAAATGGAACAAATAGGAGAGAGATAAATAGATAGATGGATGTATCTGTCTATCTAGAGAGAGAGAGAGAGAGAGAGGGGATTTACTACGGGAATTGGTTCACCTGATTATGGAGGTTGAGAGATCCTGCCATAGGCATCTGTAATCTGGAGAACCAGGCGAGCCAGCATCATGGCTTAGTACAAGTCCAAAGGCCTGAGAACCAGGGAAGCTGATGGTGTAACTCTCAGTCTGAGGCTGAAGGCCTGAGAAATGGATGGGGGCTCCTGGTGTAAGTATTGGAGTGCAAAGACCGCAGAACCTGGAGTTCTGATGTACAAGGGCAGGAGAAGAAGGATGTCTTAGTTCCAGAAGAGAGAGAGAAAGAATTTGTCTTTGCCCTGCCTTTTTATTCTGTCTGGGCTTTCAGCTGACTGGGTGGTACCCACCCACACTGGATGAGGATGGATTTTCTTTGCTTAGTCACTAATTCAATGCCCATCTCTTATAGAAAACTGACCCAGACATACCCAGAAATAATACTTTAGCAGCTACCTGGGTATTCCTTAATCTAGTCATGTTGACTCCTAAATTCAACCATCATTGCCCCCTCCCTATAAATGAGTCCCTAACTGGGTTGCAGGAGGTCACTTCAGAAACTCTCTTTGGTTACATTTAGAGATTATAAAGTCATTTACTTTTATAATTAAGGCAGCTGGAATGAGCTCACACAATTCATTTCATATTTAGTAATTAGTTTTTTCCTCCAGGGAAGGATATTCTGGATTATGCTGATGTTGGCCTTCCAGAGCAGAGTTTCTCAGCCAGGTTGATTTTGTTCCCCAAAGGACATTTGGCAGTTTCTGGTGACGTTTTTGGTTGGTGCAATGGGGAGGGACTTGCTATTGGCATCCAGTGGGTAGAACCCAGGGATGCTGCTAAACATCCTTCATTCGCACCTGCCCAGCAAAGAATCCTCTGGCCCCAAAAGTCAATAGTACCAAGGTTGAGAAACCTTGTTCTAGATGGATAGCTTTCATGACATTTGGGAAGGGCTCTTGGCCAGACTTGTTAGGTTGTTCACCCTTAGTATCACAGATTTCATATAGAGTTGTGGAGAAAGCCTTTTACTTTTTTCAAACTGACATTTCAGAAAGTCTACTCCTGTAGTTTACATAGGATGCATCACAGGAAAACAATCAAAATGAAGACCAGTTTTACAAAGCAATAAATATGTATAGACAAAACATTTTGTTTTTGTTTTCTCAACAGCATAACAAAAAGTATCTGTAAGCATATGGAAAATTACATACTGGAAACCAGAATTCATTTGTATATTTTGGGCAGATTTATTTTAAAAATAATAACAACAACAACGAAAGACCCAACAAACAAAGTACAAGCAATTTATCTTCATGTGACCATAGGGGTTTCAATACATATAATTACGATTTTTTAAAATGTTAGAAACTCTTTTTTGTTTTCAAAAATTATAACATTGCAGTCAGAGTGTATTCAAATCATCCGAATGTGTCCATTACTCAAAAACAGAAGGCTGCTTTGCAAATAGATAGCTCTTTTGTAAATTAACAGATGTGGTAGGTTCAAGAGCGGGATATATGAGATATTCTCTGAGTCTCAAAAATGCTAAGATTTTATTTAAGGTTAAAAAAAGATTTAGTTGCTAGAAAGTTAAAAATAGTAGCAATGAAATTAGTCCTTGGGTGAATGTAATTGTATCCTTTGTGTTAACGATGAGAGACATTAACTTTGCATTTACTCTAGATCATTTTTATTTTAAATACTTTGGTAAGAAAGGTTTTCAACAAGGAGGTTCTACTGTCGTTTGTTAATGAGTGCACCAGTTTGCACAGGGGATGTTATTTGCCCCAAGCAACAGCATCTACATCTAGTTCAATGAGCCACAAATACAGAAAAGAAAACCAAAAAACACTATACGAAATCAGGGAAATAATTCTTTGTTTATAAACTTCAAGATAACCTTAAATTGACATGACAGTCCTTGTACTTTGACTTGAAGGAAAACAGATTTAAAAATTTGAAAATTCTTGTAAAAGGAATTCCAGTGTGGTTTATTCTTTGTGAAATAATAATATTCTTTATTTTGAGTTTATTATTTTGAGATTTATGCAAAATGCGGTATTTTTGTGGATCTTATCTGCCAGGTCAAATTTAAATCTGATTAGTAAGAACATCGTATTTTGTTTACTTGTTTATAATTCCTATCAGAGTGTTTGCTTTGTTTTTCTTTTATTAAATACTTTTTTTATTTTGTTTGTTTAGAATTGATGAACATTTTAAAACGAGTCCCAAAATCCCTGGGATTGACCTGAATTCAACTAGGGTGTTATTTGAGAAGTTAATGAACTCTCAGCACTCCATGATTCTAGAACAGGTATGTTTCTTATATTTGTAAAGTGCATTCTTAAAAATGCATTTTTGTATTGATGAATTCAATTTCAAGCGAAAAAGAGTAAGATGAAAAAGTGAAAGTCTCCAAATCTTAATTTTGTAAAGTATTTACTTTGGGAATTAGACCTACCTTTTGTTTTCTTTTGGCTTAAACCTTTCCAAGGCAGTGCCCCTCTAGAATATACAGTTTGCACTGGCAGGGATCCTTGGCTTTTCTTTTCATGGATGTATACTGAGAGCCTAGACCAGTGTAGGGCTCATAGTAGGTTCTCAGTGCATAGTGAATGAATGAGAGTTGAGAGTCTATTAAATAGGTTATGAACTTAGAGATAAGTTAACTAGGTCGCAGGTTTGTTTGAATTTCTCATTACTCTTTTCTCTCATACAGATTTTGAACAGTTTTGAAAGTTGCCTGATTCCCCAGTTGTCAAGCTCACCACCAGATGTTGAAGCCATGAGAATCTATTTAATACTACCTGAGTTTCCCCTACTCCAGGATTCCAAGTATTATATAACATTGACTATTCCCTTGGCTATGGCCATTCTGCGGCTGGATACAAACCCCAGCAAAGTACTAGGTAAATTTGCTAACCTCGATATCAGTGGTTTTATGCTCATTTGTTTTGTTGGTGTGACTCCTGGCTCCAGTGGATTGAGATCCAAGAATCTATTTGTTGCCATTTAATATCCTTAACACTTAAAACCTTTTTTGCTTTGCTGTTAATTTTTAGCTAACCCTATTTTCAAGTTGAAAATAAAACCATTATTTAGATTATTTGAAATGACTCATGCCAGAATAATCTTGATTTTATAATATTCACAAACCTAATTTATTTAATTTGAAACTACTTTTTTCTACCACATTTGCTTATAATAAATAGGGCCTCAATATTCGTGTACATTGGTCTTTGTTTCTCCTATGTCTAATTTAGGGGGTGGGAGTGAAGTGAGCGGTTTTGGTGATACAGAGGTCTCCAAAAAAGAAGAGAAAGAAAATGACCTAGTGTGGACTTACCAAATGTTTGTTTTGTTTTTCTTTTTTAGGACAGTTGAGTCCACACTGATTTTTGCAGGCTCCGGACACTTTGCTGAGATAAAAACCTTCCGTTCCTCAGTGATTTGGAGAGTGTCTTTCATGGGAGTAGCGCCTGAAATGTTTTTATTAATCAAGTGCAGGAAGTCTACCTGGCTTTTTACTTTTTCCCCCCCGGGTAAATTTTGTTAGGTGTCATTGCAGCTCAGTAACTTCTGTGTTCCAGATGGACTGGGATGTTACTTGAGTGTGGTCTCCCCACGAATAAAGAGACTGTGTTCCTGAAGGTGGAATACTGGCTTTTCTATATTGTCTCCACCTTTGTAGAAGAGATAAAAACGGAAATAATAATGAAAGCATTAGTAAATGTTAGTACTTAATTTTTTTTAAGCTCAAAAGCCTTTTGGGGAACATTTTCTCAGGTGTTCTAGTTGATGTGAAACAGAGAGGTGGCAATATTAGAAGGAATCTTACCTGACTTTCAAGTTTTAGAGTTTTTTCATTTTTATTTTTCCAGACTGGACATTACAAAGAGAACATAATTATTCAATTTCACACTTAATTTATTTTTAACTTCTAATTATTGATATTTAAAAGAATACCCCAAAGTAGAGAGTATGCTACAGGTAGTCACCACACAAATTCAGCAGTGGTCAGTATTTTGCCCATTTTATTTCATCTGTCTCTTGCCCTCACCACCTTTTTATTTTTTGTTGGAGTATTTTTAAAGGAAATCTCAGACATATTTCATTCTTTAAATATTTCAGTATGGCTGAGTTTATTTCCAATGAAATATAAGCCAGTGCTATGATTTTCTTGTCTGGTTATGAGAAAGCATTATTTGGTGAGAAATAAAAATGGCAGTTTTTCAACTAATGATACCTCTTAAAGGGAAGGGAATGGTTGCCGTATTGTTGCTGCTGCTAGGGTGTGTCATCCTTTGCATTTCTGCTTCAGGATTTAGTGGTGGCTGAAAGCGCTAGGACATAAGAATACTTTTTGGATTAATACAGTGGGCATCACTCCTGCCCAAAATATGTGTTTCTTGTCCACATGTAGTCTGGAATTGGACTTGTGAGTTAACCTTCAGATTGAGTCTTTGTAAAAAATCAGACCCAGCTTTAAAAAAAAACAGAACTCCAGGGATTCTTGTACAGCTGCTGTTCTCTCCAAAAATGTTTTAATGGATTCTTTTTAAAGTCAGTTTTGGGAAAATGCATTTTAGACTAATGTTTATCTTCTAGACAAAGCAATTTTTAACTGGCAGGCAGAAGACATAAATAGTTGCCCAAGATTACATGTTGAAATATGTCTTTTCTTTCTTTCTAAAGATAACTGGTGGTCTCAGGTATGCCCGAAATATTTCATGAAGCTGGTAAACCTCTATAAAGGTGCAGTCCTTTATCTACTGAGGGGACGAAAGACATTCTTAATTCCCGTACTGTTTAACAATTATATTACAGCAGCTCTCAAACTCTTGGAGAAGTTATATAAGGTGAGCATAGGAGGTGCTAGTGGGGAGGGGGTAATTAGATGGTAGGGTAAAATATCCTAGTGAGATGTTCTTTGCGAAGCCATGTTTTAGTTGTCTGTATTTTGTTCTTCATTAGGTAAATCTTAAAGTGAAGCATGTGGAATATGATACATTTTACATTCCTGAGATTTCCAGTCTCGTGGACATTCAGGAAGACTACCTCATGTGGTTCTTGCATCAAGCAGGGATGGTAAGAATTCATAAAGCATATTTTAAAGCTTTAGTCTTTTTATGAGAAGAGCACGTGTGAGCTCTATAATATGTCTTTGACTTTGATGTCAGTGTCTCACCTATTCTTCATCCAGCTGGCCTTTTGCATTCTAGAAACTTGGAAGTGCTTTAAGTAATCATCAGTGTTATAAGGAGTCATAAATGAGTAGTCACCCAGAATGTTACACATTAAAAGTTGCCACCTTTTAAAAATCAGAATATCTAAAGTAGTCAAATTCACAGAAACAGAAAGTAGAATGGTGATTGCTAGGGGCTAGAGGCAGGGGAAAACAGAGAGTTGCTATTTAATGAGTATAGTTTCAGTTTTGCAAGATAAGAAAGTTTGGAGATCCAGTTGTACACCAGTGTGAATATACTTAACACTGCTGAACTGTACACTTAAAAATGCTTAAGATGGTACCTATTATGTTAGGTTTTTTTAAACCCTAATTTAAAAAAAAACCAAGACACATACAAATATGAATTTTTAGCTTTCCTTGAAACTTGGAAGATCTGGCAATACGACCTGTCTTTCCCATATGACACCAAGTGGCCAGAGTTCAAGAGTGACTCTTTAGATGAGGCTTATGTATATGCCACAATTCCCACTGCAGCTTAATTTATCCCTGCCATTGAGGAAGGATCATTTGGTAATTATCGTTTTCTGACAGCCTACTTCAGTCATCGTATGTCAGCTACCTGTACCCCGTAGGCCCCTTCTGATTGAGAATTATGTGTGTGAAAGTGTCACACATCCCTGATCCAGAGCTGTCTCACTATATTTTAGATATGCCATTCAGGGGCCTGTGGATTCCTGCCTGCCACCACTGGCATGGCAGGAACTGCTCCTTTTGATAGCACACTGACTTGTGATACATGCAGGGCTCTTTAGGATCTCCCGTCTGTGGAGTATGTGCAAATTTGAGTTAGGTCAGAAAACAGAATGATAATTTGGTTATTGTATTTTGTGGGTAGCAGATTTGAGGTGAGTCCTTGCCAGTGTAGCAGGTTCATCACCAATATTAGGGCAATATTTTTCCTGTGGGGTTTTTGGAAGTCAGCAGTGTCTCCAAAAGCAAGGCATTTCAATAGGCTGATCTAACTGAACAAGCAGGACTGTTTTCTTTGTCAAATAATGGATGATGAATGCTAGACACAATGTTGTATTTTTTTCTCTAGAGACTTAAAAAATGCATACAATGTTTTATTTTTAAATAAGATTTTATGATTACCCTGAGAAAACAAAATACTTTTTTTTTTGAGACAAGGTCTGGCTTTATCACCCAGGCTGGAGTGCAGTGGCACCATCTCTACTCACTGCAACCCAGTGGCTTCCCAGGCTCAAGCCATTCTCCCACCTCAGCCTCCCGAGTAGCTGGGACTGCAGGTGTGTGCCATCACGCCTGGCTAATTTTTGTATTTTTTGTAGAGACGGGGTTTTTGGGATGTTTCCCAGGCTGGTCTTGAACTCAAGAGCTCAAGTGATTCACCAGCCTTGGCATCCCAAAGTGCTGGGATTACAGGGGTAAGCCACTGTGCCTGGCCAAGAAAATACTTTTTAATATAAATGAATTAGAGTGTTCTAAATGGGTTGACTTGGGAAATTTAACATGAAGGCTAGTAATGAACTCTGTTTTCACTTTCAAATTTAGGAATTATTAAAAAATAAGCCCTTCTGTTTTATCAATTTATGAATTATTATTCACCAAATAATAACATTATGAGCGGTAAAATAAGCCTGATGAATTATTTGGTCCAACTGCTTTGTTTCTAGATGAGGAAATGGAACTTAAACAATTTTTCCACCAATTTCATTAGCAATAAAAGTCAATTCTTCTGATTTCTAATCTACCCTTTCTGTGACTTAATGCTGAATAAAATAAGTCTAACAAATTGTAGTTCTTTTTTACCCTGAAGAAGAAGTTGCTCATGTTAAAATCTAGATTATTATGAGTAGTCTCTGAGTAGAGATAATTAAGTAACTTTTACAATATTTTAAACTTCCTTTCTCTTAACATTTGATAAACAAATATCAGATCTTGAATAACAGATGCTCATCTTTTCAATGACTGTAATAGTTATTAAAGAAATATGGAAAATTACATGAAATTAGTCTATGACCTTTTGTGATTTTTGTGGAATTTTTTCTAGTGTATGAGGTACAATGATATTAGGAATTGAATTTTAAATTTCTTGATATTTTGGATTTTAACTTAAAATACTAAAGCTATTTCATATGTTATTTTTGTTTATTTTAACTACTTTTAAATAATAAATGGATTTTTTTTGGTGTGTTGGAATTTTTAGCTTGTTACTAGCTGAGGCTGTGTAGCATATTGTTGAGCACATGCTCCAGCCAAAAAGACCTGGGTTCAGTTCCCAACTCTGGTCTAATGGCCGTGGCCTTAGACAAATTACCTGATTTCTATAGGCCCAGCATCCTCTTTTGTGAATAAGAATTATAACGGATTGTGGAAATTAAATGTGAGAAAGCATGGAAAGACCTTACTTAGCAGAGTAGTTAGCATATAATAAGCCCTCAATAACTATTTTTCACTAAGCACTTCTTGAGCACCTAATGTGTGCTGTCTGCCTGCTAGTCACTGGGAGTGGAAACATGTATGGATATGGTGTCTACCTTTGCAGAGTGTTTAGCCCAGAAGCAGCAGTGAAAAATTCCCAAAGGGATCTAACACATGTGTGCAGAAGGAACATTCTAAAGTGGCTGATTTTTACTCCTTTTAAAGAAGAGGTGGTAGTGGTTCCTTTACTTCAATCAGCAACTTGCCTTATCTGCACTTAAAAACCAAGTAGCACAGAGTGAGTGATTGGTGGGCTCCTCTAGAGGGCAGCACAAGTGGGGAAAGTCAGTGCCACAATGTTAATCCTTCAAAAATAAAAGCTAGATAAAGCTCGACATCTTGCTGTATGTGTTAAAGGAGACAAAGCCAGGCAGTGTTTTGTCTCCAGTTATGAGTATTGTGCACGTGTGAGACAAGGCAGGCCCTAAGGCAGAGGAGGCTGTATTTCTTCTCCAGCACTGCACCTGTGCGTGTAGTGCCTCCTGCCCCACTTGCAGCCACATTTAGGAAATATTGACTTCATATTTTACAAAAACGATATTCCCAATTTTTCTGTTCTATTCCATTTACTTATTCATTGCTTCTATTTCATATGCTTTAGAAATGAGCTTAGGTCACAGTGCAGCCCTGTTTCAGGCAGGGAGACTTGAAATATGGTCCACTAGTACTTTACTAGTTTTAAGTCTGTGAAACTCATTTTTGAGGAATGGATAGTCCAAGACAAGTAGCCTCTCAGGAGATAATCATGTATCTTATCAGTTCATATGCATCCTTCTAGGTTATGAATAGCAATAGTGGCACAAAATCATGCAGATTTATTTCATATAATACGGAAATACAAGTGTGAGTACGATTTCTAAAATATTCAGCATTCACAGAATAAAAATGAAATTAAATTATCATATATGAAATACAAAAACTTACAGACTTATGAAAAGTCTGTGGATGTATAAGCAGACGTTTGTTACAGATTCGCAGCTTCTTTTGACTGAATACCCTTCCATCCTTTGCCTTCCTTAGAGCTGTCACTTCTGTTTTGTAAGGCTTCCGTATCTTCCTGCCTGCCTTGCTGGCTCACCTGAGACCTTCTCTAGACCACCAGCTCTGGGCAGTGTCTCTCTGGCTTTGGCTGTGGCTCCTAACTGGGGCAGTTCTGGATTTCTTTCCAGCCATCCCTCTCAATGGAGAGAATGGTGACCCTGCCCTCAATTTAACTCCTCCCTTTCTCCAGTGGAGAGATCAGCCTGCTTCCAAAACTGGGTTCCTTCAACTCTGGGGTTTGGGAAGGAGTAAGGTGAGGGATGCTGAGAGGGACTACGAGCTGCAGAAGGTGGATATTTAAGGGGTGCAGAGAGGCTCGGGGTGGGGATTACAGGGTGGGGAGAGAGAGTCAGAGAACAGGAGTGGGACTGGAAAGAGCCAAGGAATACAGAAAAAACTGCTGATTGATGTCTGAAATAACTGCATTACACCAACTCAAATGCCAGTATGTACTTAAAAATACTAAGTAGGCTCGGACTCTGTAATGCCAGAACTGTTTTGTGTTATCACTTCTTCCACAGTCACTTGTATATTTGAAGTATCTAAAATCTTTATCTTGCTTTATAGACCAACACACGTTCAAGATCTTTCTTTTCCCTTGAGAATAGGCAGATAATGCTTTGCGTAAACTAATATTTTCTGAGAAACAGATGAGGAAATTCTGAATATTGGCACCAGTTTTAAGCCTGCTTTCTTTCCCAGGATGCTTATATCTTTTGTAGGTACCTAGGCTAGAAGATGATTTAGCTTTTTGTATAGTGCTGTTTTATGGTGTGGTTTTGTTTTTTTGTTTCTAGTCATTTTGATTTCTAACTTCAAAGTAATTGGATATGTAGGCATGAGAGTGAGTAAGATTGGTCTGGATGATATATGCAGGATTTCATACCTGATCTCACTGGACTGGAATTGTTTCTTCAATTAGTGTTTCTCTGTCTAGAGAAATGTGCCAAGATCCCTGGAGGAACCTAGTTATAAAGGGTTAACAGGGTAGATTTTAATTAAAATTGCTTTTAAATTATTGTATTTAAATATCCATAAGGACAAAAGGAGGCACATGCTGCTTATTCATATGGTCCTGATATAGTACAGTTATAAAACCAAACCAAATTTATAAATTAAGTATAAGCAAAACTTTAACAGCAATAAAATACAGTTAGCCTCATTGATTTTATGTGATGATCAAACATATCTTACTGAACCTAAACCCCAGTTGCATTGTGGATGTGGCCTGCATGCTGTCAGGCCCTGGTGCTTGAGTTCCACTGCCCATCTGGCTGGGATGACTCACCTCTCTTTTCTCCTTCAACTGCTGTTAAACCATGTGTGTGCAGCAAGCCAGGACCGCATTGGCCTTTTCTTAGGTGCAGATGCAGCATCCACCTGCTGAGACTGCTTCTCTCTTTTCTCACTACACCTGGACAATTAAGTAATAACATGATGCCAGTGCAGTTATTCAAACAAATATAACTTAATGTGTTTTACTAATTTTGTTTAGGATATCATTAAGAAATATATAGAGTACACCCAGATCTCTGAGAATACACCCATGGTTTTGTGTTTGGTAATTCTTGCTACAGATCAACATGACCTATATTGTTGATTTTTTTTTGTTTCTATGAAGTTAATATTAAGTTAATGTTTGTTACACAACTTAACAAAAAGTGAAACTATAACTCATCTCCTAGATGTCCTTCATTGTGGTTGTGGATTTTTACCATTACTCCCCTCCAAAGTTTATTCACAGGTGCATTCACATATCGATGGAATGCATTCTGTAGGCCGAGTACTAGTCTAAGTGCTGAGTCAGCAACAGTTTACTAGATAAAGTCATTTTTAGAAGCACCTGAAATTCTTTCCAAATACTTAGTTTCTCCTAGCAGTAGTAGCCTGTGTCTCTCTCTCTCTCTGTGTGTGTGTGTGTGTAGGAAGATTCAACATCATTTAACAAATAAAATGTAATTTGTATTGTCCACTTTACCCAACAAAAATTAACCTGTGAAGTCAAGGTTATAAAGCTCCTGTTTAGGAATTAGATTTCTTATAAAAGAGAATTCTGTTAATGCTGTGAATTGTGGAGAGTTAGTGACATGCCCTTTAAAGGTCATAAAAAATATTTTTTAATTGCTTTTGCTCTTTTTTCTCATTCTGTGGCCATCAAAACATCTTTTCCCTTAAAATTTAGTCAGCCATTAAAATGTTGTTAGTTCTGTGGCCAGTAGTCAGGTTGGTTCTGTGTTTTGTTATTTATATTTTACTTTTGGAGGGATTAAAATTCAGGTTTTACAGTTTAAGTAAGAGACTTTTTATTTTTTTTTACACAGAAGGCTAGACCATCAATAATACAGGTAAATGATCCTTTTTAAATTTGCTTTTATATTTTTCCAGCTATACTTTCTGTGGAATAGTATAATACTGTCAGTAATGTGCTTTATTCTAGGATACTGTAACACTTTGTTCCTACCCTTTCATCTTTGATGCCCAAGCCAAGACCAAAATGTTACAGACAGATGCTGAACTACAGATGCAGGTATTATATTTTAGAAATTATTTCCTCTTTTTAATGTGTTTCTCCCTTTTTAGACATTCAGTTGTAATTTTTTCTAATAGGAGAAGACATATTTGGTTGAAATTCCATTATAATTCTTAAAGCTGTTTGAAACTTTTCAGTAATTTGTGTTGAATATAACACACATTGGTGGATACACATTTATGTAGATAAGAGATTGGCAAAAGGACGACTTAGTAAATGTTTTAAGCTTTGGGGACCTTATGGTCTCTGTTACAACTATTCAACTCTATTTTAGCATAAAAGCAGTGATAGACAATTATAAATAAATGAGCATGGCTATATTCCAACAAAACTTTATGTATGTTGAAATTTGCATAGTGTATAATTTTTACATGTGGTGAAAGATTATTCTTCGTTTGATTTTCTTCACCCATTAAACAAATGTAGAAACCGTGCCAGGCGCAGCCCACACCTATAATCCTAGCACTTTGGGAGGCTGAGGCAGGCTTATCACTTGAGGTCAGGTTCAAGACCAGCCTGGCCAACATGGTAGAACCCTGTCTCTATCCAAAATACAAAACTTAGTTGGGCGTGGTGGTGCCCACCTGTAATCTCAGCTATTCGGGAGGCTGAGACAAGAGAATCACTTGAACTCAGGATGTGGAGGTTTCAGTGAGCCGAGATTATGCGACCACACTCCAGCCTGGGTGACAGAGCACGATTCCGTCTCAGAAAAAAAAAAAAAAGTAGAAACCATTGTTAGCTCAAGAGCTATGCAAAAACAGGCAGCAGGCTGGATTTGATATGTGGGGCCTTAGTTTGCTGACTCCTGACAGAGAGAGAGAATTAAATGGAACTTGGGAATTCTTCGTTGAATAAAAACTTGTTATAGAGATTTATTTAATAATTTATTTTAAATACACATTTTTATTATAAAGTATAATTGATTTTGACAAGCCACAAAAACATTTGTGAATTAGCCGCTCAAATCCTCCAGTTCCTACTGTTGGTAGATATAGATATATAACTTCATTTATCTTTCCCTCTCCATCTCTCTGTCTGCCTGCCTGTCTGTCTTTTTCCAGCTCTGACTGCATCTATCTATATATGTGTTTGTTTTCATATTGCTGTATCTGTTATATTGACAGTTTAGAGGTTTTCAAGAGAAATGAAATTTTTCAAAGAATAACTCTTTAACAAGTGGTTATTAGCTTTCTTTTCCTGCCATTTTGAAAGTTGTGGTTTTTACCCACTTTCTACCATGTTTCTTTAAGCATGATACTATTTTAGTATTAATCAACTGGTTTAAGTCACTTTCCTGGACCTGGTTATAGATCATATGATTCATAAACTGTTTTAGTTAGTTTCTGTGAGTCCATATTAGAAAGACTTGTGTGCTGCGTAAACGTAAGTAACTTAGAAAATCTGTGGAAGTTAAGAGGGAAAAAAATAACCAAATGGAGGTACAGTCAGTGCCCCCAAGTCCAGAAGCACAGCTGACTGCTCTCCCAACTCACGCGTGTGCTCTGAGTAACTGTGTTCTTGACTGTGCCATTCCAGGTGGCAGTCAATGGAGCCAACCTGCAGAATGTCTTCATGCTTCTCACTCTGGAGCCTCTGCTGGCCAGAAGCCCCTTCCTGGTCCTTCACGTTCGCAGGAACAACCTTGTTGGAGATGCTCTAAGAGAGCTGAGCATTCATTCTGATATTGATTTGAAAAAGCCTCTCAAAGTGAGTTCCTTCAGGATATTCCTCTAAATACCTTCGCAATTTTTCTTCAAACAGTGTTGATTAAGCAGCAATGATCTTACTAAAATTGTGGGGTGTAGCCATTCTTTCATTCATTTTACAAGAATTGAATCACCTTCTTTTGTCAAATCACCAAACAGAACATCTCAGTGTAACATTGGATAAAAATGCCAGTGGATTATTTGAAAGATTAGAGTGCTTTCTTTGTCTTCTTCTGCTGTCCTTGGTGTACCAGTTCCAGCTCTATCAAAAATGAGCAAACATCAACAAAAACGAAAGCTTTGACTAATTACAACGATTAAGCTATCATTTAGGAAGATTGTGGATATCAAAGATTTAAGAGAAAGAAGGTAAAATAGGAAAATGGAAAGGTAGTAAAATCATCTGGGAAGCTATTGGCCTATTATGAGAGGCACACCTAGTACCTGCAAATTATTAAATGAAAAAAAAATTTCTCTCTCCATAGATCATGCATATTTCCAGGGCTTGGCATAATGCTTGGTACACAGTAGGTATTCTAGAAATACTTGGTGAATTATTTGAAATTGTTTAAAGTCATTCATCTTTTCCCTCAGACAACTTCCATATCCCTATTGCTAATCTTTTTATAAGTTCCACTTTCAGAAATGTAATAGGCATGAAATGAACTGATAATCTCCATAAAGGGTAAATAATGCTCGATAATTTACCCTTTCCAAAATTCCTAATCAGTAGCATCAGTCACATCAATCTGCCTGGTTGTTCTCCCCAGAACTTCTGTGTTATATTTTTGATACAGCTTTTCTTTTTGCCCTGTTTTCAATAGGTAATTCAGGTGAGGCAGTTCTTGCTTTGTAGCAGTATTCTGCTGGCATCTGTGTAATCCAGGTCCTAGTCTCTGTCCCACTTTTACTCTTGTCCTGCTCTAGGCAATCTTGAAGACAGCCACAAGTGTAAGCTTTTTGAATGCTGTTTTTAACTCTGTGCCTGAGTCATTATCTCTGAAATGGGGATAATAAGACTCTACGCATAAGGCTGTTCTGAGGATTAGGTTAATAGAGTTTAAGAGCTGGCATGTAGTAAACTCCATGTCATTTGTTGATTTGCTGTAGTTGTTACTGTTAATAACCATTATGTATCCAGCATGCCTACTTCCACTCCCTCACAGAGCCCATGTCTGTGTCTGATTACAATACCCTCTTCCCTTCTACATGCAGCAGTTACTTCAAGAACCCTATTGAGAGTGATTTCTCCCAGAAAGTGTTCTTTTATTCAACTTAAATGAAAAATCATTTTTTTCTATGTGCCAGAATATTTACCTCTCATTATATATTTGACTCTTTAAAAATAAAAAGTATTCTCTGCTTTTATGTCTGTCTTTCTGCCCTTAAGCAGATGGTAGACTTTCTTTTTCTATTTTTTTTGGTCGGAATTTCGCTCTTTGTTGCCCAGGCTGGAGTGCAGTGACACAATCTTGGCTCATTGCAACCTCTGCCTCCCAGATGCAAGCGACTCTCCTGTCTCAGCTTCCGGCGTAGTGGATTACAGGTGCCCGCCACCACGCCAGACTCATTTGTGTATTTTTAGTAGAGACAGGGTTTCACCATGTTGGCCAGGCTGGTCTCGAACTCCTGACCTCAGGTCATCTGCCTGCCTCGGCCTCCCAAAGTGCTAGGATTACAGATGTGAGCCACCACGCCCAGCCAATAGATGGTAGACTTTCTAAGGACAGGTGGTAAATTTCTGACTTCCTTTGTATCCCTTGAAGCACCTAGTAAAAATTTTGTGTAAGTACCTTGTTAAAACTTTACCAGCAATAATCAACAGACACACCTTGCAGTTTTCATCGCATCAGTGTATATTCTTTGTTATACTTTCCTTCATTTGTCTTGAGTTTAGAAAATGGTCTGCTGAAAAGAGATACAGTTTGTCATAGATTTCCCTGAAGCATTAATTCTGTTCCATTACTTTAAGGTAATCTTTGATGGTGAAGAAGCAGTGGATGCTGGTGGTGTTACAAAGGAATTTTTTCTTTTACTGTTAAAAGAACTTTTGAATCCCATCTATGGAATGTTTACCTACTATCAAGATTCAAATCTCTTGTGGTTTTCAGATACGGTAAGTAAGTGGTGTCACAATTAAACAGATGGATTAAACTTTCTTTTTGTTGTCAGACCAATCCCCTAATTTCTGACTTTGCAAAGGGGAACATAGCAAGGATAATAATTCAAAATGTTTATAAGTAATTAAAATGTTTATCCCGTCTTCATTTATACTTGTTGCCAAGACCTCATAGTGCATTTTGTGAGCCATCAGTCCCATTTCCATTTCTAGTAGGTAAGATCCAAGTCTTGTTATCTGAGAAGGGTAAAAAGAAACAGTGTGATAAATTGGTTTTGTGACACGTGGAAGGTCAATAATCAAATATGTCTGATTTTAATAACAATGATAATATATTATCACACACACATACATATGCATGCACAGTTTATTTTTGAAACTTCAGTAGGAGAGCTAAGTTTTTAAAGGCATTTTAATTTCAATCAGATTGTCTTTACATTTTTTTCTATGAGAGTTTTCTTCCTAGATCTGCACCATACCAAAAAGTAGCCACTAGGCACTAGCCACATGTGGTTATTTATATATTATTTATTTAAAATTAAGTAACAACAAAGATTCATTTGCTCCATTGTACTAGCCACATTTCCTGTGCCTAGTAGACACATGTAGCCAGTGGCTACCATATGAGATTGACAGAATAGAATGTTTCTATTGTGGCTGAAAGTTCTGTTGGACAGCCCTGCTCTAGATGACTATGAGCTGTTCTCTGTATTACTAGGTGCAAATGCTTAACTCTGTCTACATTGCGTCTTTAAGGGATAACAACTTTTGTCAGTGTGTTTCTTTGCTACAGAAGGTAACTAAATATTAATGAGACCTCTATTTTTTTATTTTGAAAATATTTTGAGGGAAACGGTAGAATGTTTGAAGGCCGCAAACATTGCATTTCTTTTTAACACATTTGTATATGTCCTAAAAAGTGTTTTGTAGAGCACAACTGGTTTCACTTGATTGGCATAACCTGTGGACTAGCTATCTACAACTCCACTGTGGTTGATCTCCACTTCCCATTGGCTCTCTACAAGAAGTTACTCAATGTAAAGCCTGGATTGGAAGACTTAAAGGAGTTGTCACCCACTGAAGGAAGGTACAAAGCTAAAAGGCGATTGGTATCTGAAACTGTTGTGGCTATCTCTGGCATGAAGATTAAAGGTTGAAAATACTATCTGTACAAATCTGAGTTTATTGCATCCTATGGTTAAACCCTGTTATATGTGTTTTGTCTAAGATGTAGCTGTACAGCTACTTGCTTGAAACATTGCCTGTGTTATCGGTACAGTTGTCTCTTGATATCCAAGGGGCATTAGTTCCAGGACACCTTGCAGATACCAAAATCCACATACGCTCAAGTCCTGTAGGGGCCCTAGAAGAACCCATGGATTGGAAAGGTTGGCCTTCCATGTCCTTGGGTTTTACACCCTGAAAATACTGTATCTTCTTTCTTTAATTATACTTTTTTTTGTTGGTGAGGCATAATAGATATACATATTTTGGGGATACATGTGATAATATAATACATTATATAATTTGTAAAGTTCAAACCAATGTAACTGGGATATCCATTACCTTAAATATTTCTCTTTATATTAGAAACATTTGAATTATTCTATTTTAATGGCCATACTTCCCAAAGTAATTTATAGATTCAATACTATTTCCATCAAGCAACCATTGACTTTCCTTTCAGAATTAGAAAAAACTACTTTAAATTTCATATGGAACCAAAAAAGAGCCCGTAGAGCCAAGACAGTCCTAAGCAAAAAGAACAAAGCTGGAGGTATTACGCTACCTGACTTCAAACTATGCTACAAGGCTATAGTAACCAAAACAACATGGTGTGGGTACCAAAACAGATATATAGACCAATGGCACAGAACAGAGACCTCAGAAATAACACCACACATATACAATCATCTGATTTTCGACAAACCTGAAAAAACAAGCAATGAGGGAAGGATTCCCTATTTAATAAATGGTGCTAGGAAAACTGGCTAGCCATATGCAGAAAACAGAAACTGGACCCCTTCCTTACACCTTATACAAAAATTAGCTCAAGATGAATTAAAGACTTAAATGTAAAAAACCCAAAACCATAAAAACCCTAGAAGAAAGCCTAGGCAATACCATTCAGGACATAGGCATGGGCAAAGATTTCATGTCTAAAACACCAAAAGCAAGGGCAACAAAAGCCAAAATTGACAAATGGGATCTAATTAAAACTAAAAAGCTTCTAAAGAGCTGCACAGCAAAAAAAAAAAAAACTATCAGCAGAGGGAACAGAAAACCTACAGAATGGGGAAAATGTTTGCAATCTATCCATCTGATAAAGGTCTAATGTACAGAATCTACAAGGAACTTAAACAAATTTACAAGAAAAAAAAAAAAACCCCATCAAAAAGTGGGCAAAGGATATGAACAGATGCTTCTCAAAAGAAGACATTTATGTGGCCAACAAACACATGAAAAAAAGCTCATCATCACTGGTCATTAGAGAAATGCAAATCAAAACCACAATGAGATACCATCTCACGCCAGTCAGAATGGCGATTATTAAAAAGTCAGGAAACAACAGATGCTGGCAAGGCTCTGAAGAAATAGGAACACTTTTACACTGTTGGTGGGAGTGTAAATTAGTTCCACTATTGTGGAAGACAGTGTGGTGATTCCACAGGGATCTAGAACCAGAAATACCATTTTACCCTGCTGTCCCATTACTGGGTATATATCCAAAGGATTATAAATCATTCTACTATAAAGACACATGCACACATGTATGTTTATTGCAGCACTATTTACAATAGCAAAGACTTGGAACCAACCCAAATGCCCATCAATAACAGACTGGATAAAGAAAATGTGGCACATACACACCATGGAATACTATGCAGCCATAAAAATGAATGAGTTCATGTCCTTTGCAGGGACATGGATGAAGCTGGAAGCCATCATTCTTAGCAAACTAACACAGGAACAGAAAACCAAACACCGCATGTTCTCACTTATAAGTGGGAGTTGAACAATGAGAACACGTGGATACATGGAGGGGAATATCACACACCGGGGCCTGTCAGGGGGTTGGGGGGAAGGGGAGGGAAAGCATTAGTACAAATACCTAATACATGTGGGGCTTAAAACCTAGATGACAGGTTGATAGGTACAGCAAACCACCATAGCACATATATACCTATGTAACAAACCTGCACATTCTGCACATGTATCCCAGAACTTAAAGTAAAATAATAATAATAATAAAAAAAGCCTTTCTAACTGGGTGAAGAAAAAAGTAAAGATGTGTTTTCTTTAATATATATTTTATCTGTGTACTAATAACAAAACCAGACTTATTGTTGTCTCTTCAGTCTCAAGAAAGAAAAAAATATTTAAAAAGAAACTAATTTCGCTGATTAACATTAGGGAGAAGGTGAACGACTATGATAATTTTCTTGGCTGGTGAATTTTTGGAGTGTCTGAAATCAATCTTTTAAAATTATGTTGTTATTAAGGACAGTTAGCAGTGTTTTATGCTGAATTACACAGAGACAGTATGTTTTTATGGACACATTTGGCATGCAAAGTATCAGCTTTATATGCCTGTGCAATGCATAACCTCTCAAATACAACTTATTTTCCTTTCTCCATCTCTTAAAAAAAAATTAGTGTGAGTGTATTTTAAGAAGAAGGCAATTCTTCTTCCAACGTGGCTCAGGGAAGCCAAAAGATTGGGCACCCCTGGTCTTTACCAAATAGAGACTTCTGCATTAACAAGTAAGCCATTAAAATTCCTAAGTGGATGTGGTGACTTTGTGCCCAATTTTTTTTTTTTTTTTTTTATGATAGAAGGATTATTTTACTAATGCATAAGCCAGTGAAGCTGGCTGGAGGCCCCTGCAATACCATCTCCTCATTTATGTATCTACACACACACTTGCAAACTACTTCAGAGTTAAGAGGACACAAGTATGTTAGGTTAAAAATCCATCTGAATTTCTTTTCAAGTCTAATAAGATTTGTCAGTAAGAAGAGAGAATAATTAATGAATGTTTTATAGGTCTAGTGCTATAATTATCTTCAAGGTGTAGGTACATGAATTTCTGTCCATCTGGATTTATGTTTATTCCAGAATCTCCTTTCATAGTTTTTCCTTGGAAATGATCTGGACGTGTAACTGAAGTAGAAACACTGTTGCAGCGGTATCTGACTTTCCACTTTTCCTTTTCTGTCATTCTATGATTAGGAGTCTCCAAGAGCTTTTAGATTACCCTGGGGAGGATGTGGAGGAGACTTTCTGCCTCAACTTCACGGTAAGAATTTCCACAGTTTACTTAGGATTGTGGCTGTCTCTCTTACCATCTGTAGAGTGATAATTAACATTAGTTCTTCTTCAAATCACAGAAAAACGTCAGGGACTTCTTTGAATCAAATTATTTTAGTCATAGTGTCTTGAGTGTTATAGGAGTTCAATGAGTGTGTTGAATAAATGAATGAATGATTAATCTATGCACTTAGAAGAATTATTGAAGAAATAATCCTTCCTACTCTTGACACATATTCTTGAGTTCGTGTCATTTTCTCCTTGAGTGCATTTATTGGCAACTCCATGTCCTAAAACAAAAGATGTTTTTTAATGTGCTAATGTTTTCTGACTCAAGTTCTCATTATTCTCCCACTAATTTTCTGTAATAGTCATGGAACTACATTTGTTTCTAAAGCCTTTCTCAGTCATTTGAGTTCTACAAAGATGAATGGTCAACAAAATTGAAATATTTCTTTTTTCCACCTTAAATATAGATCTGCCGAGAAAGCTATGGAGTGATTGAACAGAAGAAGCTGATACCTGGGGGAGATAATGTGACTGTGTGCAAGGATAACAGGTTAGTCCTGGCCTTGGACTGTTGCAGATGCTGCTACTTCATATTTCTGCAGTTTGACATTTAAGACCAAAATAAAAATTACTTTTTAACGTTAATACCTTCTTCAGAGGGGAGGTAAGGGTGATAGGGCAAGAATTTACAGATTTTAAATAATTTTTCTTTTTTTTTTTGGGCGGACCCAGGCTGGAGTGCAGTGGCATGATCTCGGCTCACTGCAGCCTCCGCCCCTCCAGGTTTAAGCAATTCTCTGCCTCAGCGTCTGGAGTAGCTGGGATTAGAGGCATGCACCACCACGCCCGTCTAATTTTTTATATTTTTAGTAGAGATGGGGTTTCACTATCTTGGCCAGGCTGGTCTTGAACTCCTGACCTCGTGATCCACCCACCTCGGCCTCCCAAAGTGCTGGGATTATAGGCGTGAGCCACCGTGCCCGGCCTAAATAATTTTTAATAGCAGAGCAAGCACCAGGACTAGATTCAGGAGATAACTGTTTTAGTTCTAGATCTGCATCTTTTTGGCTTTGATTCTGAGCAAGTTACATAAACTGTTTGGTTTCAGTTTTCTCATCTGCCAAATGGAGATTATAATCACTGTCTTCTCTACTACATGGGATGTTTGTGAGAATGAAATGAGATAATTTACGGGAAAATACTTTGGAACGAATGAACTGGCAGAGTCTAGCACAGAGTTTCTAGTATCTAACAGAGTGCCTGGCACAAAAATACTCAAAAAATATGTGTTGAATAAATGAATTTTATAAAGGTGCTTACTATCACTGCTATTTTACTGCTGAATGATTTGTCGTAGAGGTTTTAAATTAAGTTATTCTCTCTGGATCATAACAACAAATTCAAGTACATTTGATTTTTCAGGATAATTCATAATCTCTGAGTTAACTCTTTAGAGGAGAGAAGATGCTCATTTTTGCTTACTTTTATATTAAATTATGCTAATCTGCATGAAATCAATTTACTTTACAAACACTGAGTGACTACTGTGTGTCAGCCATATTGCTGGGTATAGAGGGTGAATAACTTCCATCCTTAGAAGCTTGGGATTAGTTGAGAAGGGTCAATGTATGGAAATAATTGCGATAGCATCCAGTGTATGCATGTGATAGAAGTTTTAACCCAGGTGCCATGGTACTAGAGTAAGAGGTTACAACACTTTTATCAGACATTAAAGAATGCAAGTTGGAGGAAACATTTTAGGCACCAAGTGAGTTGCGACTTTCCAGTTTGACACATGATAGAAAATGTTGGATACTTGTGGAGTGGGGACTGGTGTACGGATGAAGGGAGACTGTAGTAGCATCAGAGTGGAGGTTATCAAGGCCTTGAATTGGAGTAGAACATGGTTGGTTTCTATTTTAGAAGGATTACTTTGGGGGTCATGTGGAAATAGACCATGTGCAGGGATACCCATTAGGAGGCTTTTGAGGTAGCTCAGGTAAAGGATGATAACAGCCAGAACAAAGGTAGTGGGAAACAGAGTTGGTTATATAACCAAATAGGAGCTAGTGTCTGATTATATATGGATGGTATGAGAGAGGCATATATTGATAATAATGCTGAAGTTTCTAATTCAAACACTAACTAATAGAAAACAGAGTCTATATAAAAGGGAACAAGTTCCATTTTGAACATATTGATTTTGATATGTCTGTGTGATACCCAGGTGATTGTGTTTAGAGCAGAAAATTTATATATCTCAATAAAGAAGTCTTATATGGATATTTTTTAATTAGTTATGTGAGCCTCAATCACCATTGAATTTGAGGTTGCTTACAGCAAGAATCAACAAGAAAGAAGTGGTAAAATGAAAAACAAGGACAAGGAAAGTGTAATTTCTTGGAGGAGCTGTATAAGTTAGAATAAAATGCAGACTCTTGAGGATGTGAGCATAATTTGCCCATAGGCTAGCATTGAAACTTGTTGGCTTAAGGAAAGGGCAGGTAGGGGGTGGGAAAGGTGAGAGAATGACAGTCTTTCTTTGGAAAGCTTTAGAGAGGAAAGCAAGGTTTCATTTAAGCTATGAAAAAAGATACAGATGTGGAGAAACTAGATGCTGTTTGTACGCATGCAGGAAAATTAAGTAAAACTCACTCTGGACTTTTACTGGCTTCTTCCTCTAAATAGTTGGGAAGATGCAATTGGAGATCCTATTAAATTCAGTCTATCCAAGTGATCTATCTTGGTTTTCTTCCACATTCTTTCCTTTTGAAAATAGGAATGGGGTGGGTGCAGTGGCTCATGCCTGTAATCCCAGAACTTTGGGAAGCCAAGGTGGGTGAATTGCTTGAGCTCAGAAGTTCAAGACCAGCATGGGCAAGATAGCAAAACCAAGTCTCAAAACAAAATACAAAAAAAAAAAAGAGAAAATTAGCCAGATGTGTGGTAGTGCATATCTGTACTTCCAGCTACTCAGGAGGCTAAGGTGGGAGGATCACTTGAGCTTGGGAAGTGGAGGCTATAGTGAGCCATGATCATGCCTCTGCATTCCAGCCCGGACAACAAACCAAGACCTCATCTTCCAAAAAAAAAAAAAAAAAAAAAAAAAGAAAAAAAAATTGTAAGACATTTATCCTTGACTTTTTTTATTTTTTGAGACAAAGTCTCACTCTGTCTCCAAGGCTGGAGTACAATGGTGCAATCTTGGCTTGCTGCAACCTTCACCTCCTGGGTTCAATTGATTCTTCTGCCTCAGCCTCCCCCGTAGCTAGGATTACAGGCGTGTACCACCATGCCCTGCTAATTTTTGTATTTTTAGTAGAGACAGGGTTTCGCCATGTTGGCCAGCCTGGTTTCGGACTCCTGACCTGGGCTGGTCTGCCCGCCTCAGGCTCCCAAAGTGCTGGGATTACAGGCATGAGCCACTGCACGCAGCCCATCCTTGATGTTTTTAAAAAACAACTCAAAGCTAGTATGATCTCATAGAGCATTCAGTAACCTTTTTTTTTTTTTTTTTTTGGTCATGTAAACCTTCCAGACTATCCAAGAAGCCTCAGCTTTGGGGAAAGTGAGCTTTAGTATCAGAGTTGAGTGAAATGATGCAGAAGCCACCTAGACACCCAACAAAAATGGCTTCAGTTGATGGAATTATCTTGGCTCTAGAAACCTAATATAGAGGCTAGTTTTGATTCAAGTAAGAATGTTGCAATCAAAACCCTTGATAAGAATCTCTTGGGGCTAAAAGCAGTTTCCTTTATCTATATAACATTGGTACTTTTGTTAACAGTAAATAATTTATTTTCAGGTTGTTTATTTCCTTAGTAAGAACAGGCTTTTTATTCCATATAGTCAGATAATGTTTTTAGAATTGGGAAAATTTATGGCAGATCATAAAGCAGATTTGTTAGCCCAGTTGATTTCTCTTCCCTTCTTGTTTTGGGGATTGCTTTAAACATTCCACATGTGTGCAAGTACATATGTAGATACATATATAGCCTTTAGTCTTTCAAACAATGTCTTAGCTTTTGCATTAGGTTTCAGACAAGATAATGTGTGCATCATTCGTTAGAAGCTAACAGTGGGATAGGCAAGCATCCTGAGGAAGGGGAACATTCAGAATGTCCTCATCCTTTGGTGGGTCATCATAGTGCTCTGTGAGTATGATACAGTGGCTGGGGAAATGAATGACCTAGTGCAGGAATAGGCAATTGGCGATGTAGTCTGCAGTTGAGGCAGTTGCCAGAACTTTTTACTCCTTTTCATATCTTTGTCAAGTTATTTCTCTTAGCATATTTTTGTCCCTGTCTTTTTTGCTCTGTTTCTAAGTCTTAATTTTTCTCTCTTTCTGTTTCTTTGCTTCTCTCTCCCTTTCTCCTTATTCAAAAGACATTTCTTTGAATCAACAGTTGAATTGACTCAACAGTTGTGGGAGAAACTGTGCAGGAATAGTAAAATATAACACAGTTTGTTTAGGGTGATAAGCTGTTCTCAGATGCAACCATAAATGGAATATGAAGACTAAATTGGGTGGTTGAATCTGAAGGCGTTCAGAGAAATTAGCTTGGACAGATGCATCTGGGAGGACAGATACGGGATAGAGCTAAGTTTGGAAGCCTACTAAGATTTGGATACTAGAAAGTAGAGAAGAGGACATAAATATGAAAGGTGCTCTGTAAAGGGATGGAAAAATCTGAGTTGTCAGTTCAGACAGAGAAATTTTGATTGCATTATACTATGTTCATGATGTATGGAACAGCTTCTGTACTAGGTAGAAATTTAGATTTTGGTTTTTCAGAGTACTCATTGAGTACACTGTGAACTCATCCATGCTGCTTTAGGCACTGCTGTACATGTCTGTGTCACTCAGTGACAGGCAGGAGACCCTGTTGCTGTCACAGTTACCTGTTTGTCTTCGTTTGGGCTACTGTAAAAAAGTAGCATAAACTGGATGACTTATAAACAACACAAATGTATTTGTCACGTTCTGGAGACTGGAAGTCAAAGATTAGGCTGCCAGCATGGTTAGGTTCTGGCGAGGGCCTTCTTCCACGTTGCAGACTGCTGACTTCTTGTTGTATCCTAGCATGGTGGAGAGCAGGGATGGAAAGCAAGCTCTCTAGTGACTCTTATAAGGACACCAGTCCCATTCATGGTTACTGCTGTACTCTTTACTATAGCTGTTTTGGTTAGGGACCACCAGAAAAAGACATGAATGAATTTTTCTTCTTTTCATTTTATGCTGTACAAAATAGAAGTGTTACCAACAAAGTACATTGAGGTCCTGGTAAGAAAGGCTGTATGAAGTTATAAAAAGTTGATAATTATAGTCATTATTTCCTTGGTTATATGCCATAATCTAGTCATTGGCAGTCCTACGTTTTATGACTAAGAAAATGAAAGAACTGTAAGAATACCAACTGGACTTTTAGGTAGTTGTATACACAGATACTGCTGGCATTGAGGCTGTTTTTGTTAACAGTAAGATATTTGCTAGCATTGCTGCCCCAGGGGAAAATGCCAGAGGAATACCAATTCCATATTCATAATTTATTCCATTTCATTTGGTTTTAAAATGCTTTCTATCCTTGGACAGAACCCATACAGTCAAATGAGTTGTAGGCATCCAGGTAAAAGAACCTCTGTGGCTAATTACTGGTGACTGCATCATAGACAAATCTTGCCAACAGCTGGTAGTCACATCTGGATAATACTATATCACATGACTACTCATGGTTAAGCATTTCTTATGGTCTATAACATGGTGTTATTACCATTAGTGAAAAACCCACATATTGTTCTAGATTCCCTAACATTTACCTCAATTTGATGCAATCAGATTAAATGCAATTGCTGTCTTCTCATTTTCTCCATATTAAAAAAGACAGATGACACACACATGGGGCTAGGGGGGCAGTGGGGGGGCGGAGAGTAGAGTAAAAGGATCACATAGTGAGAAATGCCAAACTTAAGGTAAGTGCTTCAGAGGGCATCTAGATTCTATAGTGAGAAGCTGAGAATAAAACTCATGCATGACAAACACTTCTTGCTCCTTAAGATCTTCAGGACTGCTGGCAGACTTCAGTTGATCTTTCAGGATAGTTTCTGAGGGATGCAGTCTTTAAGATCTGCGTTGTATTTGCATTGGACTATTACAGGAACAGCAGAATTAAAATGCCAGTAACACTTCTTGAGTGCTTACCATGCGTCAGACACTATTTGAAATATTTGACATGTAAGCCTCCCCATTTACTGATGAGGAAACTGAGGCACAGATAGGCATAAGTCTTTTGTTCAAGGTTGCAGAGCTAGAAGTCCAGGATTCTAAACCAGAGCCAGGATTCAAAGCCGGGTGGTTTGAGTCAGACTGCGCTCCATGGGCACCAGCATCTGACCTCTCAGGGGCTAAGGCTGGGGCTCGAGAGTTCCCATCCTCCTTTCCCCCTAGGAAGAAAAATGACTTTGAAGACTTTGCTGTTTTTCATTTCAGGCCAACTAGGTAATGTTTTTAAAAAGCAAAATTGGAATAGCTAAAAACATAACTATATACATATGAAATGGAGCGTCTGAATTTTTAAACTTAGGTGAAGACAATGCTTATATTTAAAATGCTATTACAAAGTCCTTATGAACACCCTTAATAATGACTGCATGGTCTGCTATGTGAATGTGTGTTTTTCTGTTTCTTCACTGTTTAATATTTGACTTGTTTGTATGTTCTTTTTTATTCCTCTTTTTTCTCTTCCCCCCACCACCATTTTTAATAAGACTATGTCAAGTATCTTTTGTGTATAAAGGATTTTGTGCCTTTAAAATTGCTTTTTAATGATAAGGTCTCAGGGGTGAAATGGAATTAAAATGTATAACATTTGAATTTGTTGATAGGTATTTTTGATAAATTTATTTTGCTAATGAATTATACTCCCTTATATGTCATTATCACCATTTCACCCAGTTCTTAGAAAAATGGTGTGTATTCTTTAAAAAAAAAATGAAAAAACTAAAAAGAAATTTAATCTCACTTACAAAATGTTGCATTTCTTTCACACATAGGCTACTTTACATACTCTACAGAGTACTGATCTATTTTACTGCTGTTTACCTCTAAAATATTTTGTTTAAAAAATGAATTAACTAGAAGATGGTGGTTGCACAGCATTGTGAATGTACAAATGCCACTGAATTGTTCCCTTTAAAATGGTTAATTTTGTTATGTGAATTTCACCTTAATAAAAAAAAAAAGTGTGTATGTGTGTGTATATGTGTAAATGTGTCTATGTGTATGCATTGAGTGTACATTCTCAGGTAGAGAGAGCTGCCATGCCATTTTTCACAGTAAGCATCGGCATGCCAGTTTTCTGTGTAATACTCAGAGAGTTGGTTGTGTATTGCATGCTGCCTTTCTTTCTTTCTGCCAGTTAATTTGTGCTTTGTTGACTAATCTTGGCCTATAATAGGTTGAAAATGGTTTATGAATGATAGTGTTGGACCTACCTTGAAGCAAGGGTATTCCGCTAGATGCAGGTTTTAGGGTTGCCAGAGAAGCTATCAAATAAGCAGTCTAGGAAAGAGTATAAAGATTAGCCTAGTTAGGAAATGGCAGAAATCGCTTGACATCACAAACATCCCTGTATCCTTAGAGAAGTGGCCAACAATGGTACAGCTGGTAGCTAGAAAACCCCATAGTTAAAGTGTTATCATAAACAAAAGGATTGCGGGCCAGAGCACAGAACTAGGAACACTTGTCTCTAGACTCTGCCAGAGCCCCAGCTCACCTAGTGCCGCAGGTTCAGGAACACGCAGTACTAGGTGAGTTCTTTCTGCCTCAGTCAGGGTTTGCAGTCTTTCCTCTTTTTAGAGACTCTGCTGATGTCCTTTATGTATTTCTCTAGTAGGACTTAATAATTTTCATATGATTCATAGGAACTCTTCATTATGTTTAAGACTACTAACCCTTTGCCATCTATATCTATTGTAGGTTTTATTCTGTTTTTGCTTTTGAAAATGTAGTGTGTGTCTTTAACTCTGTGATTTCTTAATTTTTGTGTTGTCATGTCTGTTACTTCTTTTGGTCTTATATCACTCTTATCCGAGCCATTCCCTGTCCAGTAATTGATGTAATTGATAAATATTTAGTATATTTTCTTCAATTGGTCTGTAGTCAGAGGTAAAAATCTAAACTGTTTCCAAATTGCTAAAGGTTTTCTTAGCTGTTCTTAAGGTGAGCATTATGGTAAATATATTAGGTTCCAGATCCAGTTTGAGTTTTGATTAAAATTGTGATAAAAGTTAATTTGGGAAGAACTGATATTTTTGTGATATTCAATCTTACATCCAAAGGCTTATGTTACATTTATTTGTTTTTAATTTTTACATAGGTTATACACATTTCTTATTAGAGGTTTTAGCCTTTCCCATATATTTTCATCATTATTAGTGCCTATAAATGGTTATGGGTTTTTGTGTATTTATCTGATAACTGGTCAATTCATCAAACTTATTAAATTGAATTGTTTTTCAGTTGATTCTCTTGGGTTTTCTATACGTAAAAAACATTTCCCAATACTTATACCTCTTATCTGTGTTTCAATCATTTTTGCTTTTTACTGTACCCAGAAAAATAGTAAAATGATAATCTCATTCCTGGATATAAGAAATGAATATTAAATTTTATTAGATTTTTTTCTCTATTAAGATAATCATATGATTAAGATAATCAGAACTTCGTATGTAATATACTATTCTGATTTTCTCTTTTGGTTGGCCTGAGCATAAGGAAGATTAACATTACCTTAAGGTTGTTTGTACTCAACAATCTGTTGTTATTAGCAACAAGTCAGTGCTGCCTTCCATTCCCTAGGATAAAGCAATTTAATTTTGCTTCTTTGTAATTTTAACCCTGCAGGGAAAATGAAGCAAATGGCATCTGATTTTTTAATTTTTTTGGAGTCCAGTTTTTAAAAAAAACTTTCTGCTTCATTCAGAATGAAGCAAACAAAGTTGAAATAGCCTTTTTTGTATATTTTTAATGTTATATTGAAGTCTTTTATCCTTTCTGAGAGATAATAAAAACTTGATATTATGTTGAGGAAACCAAAACAAGATAGTTTATTTAATTTCCTGTGTTTCTGAATTAAAGGCCACATTCTTCTCTCATAATAAGGAATCATAAACATGGGAAGGCATTGATGTAGTGATGTCCATTTCTCCCATTTTGTAACAGGAGAGAAGGAGGATTGAATTTCCAATCACTGTCTTTATCTTTCATGTAATAATAATAATAGCTAAGAATTATTCAGCGCTTACTATGGTTTGGATGCTATTCTATAGGCGTTATATGCATTAATCCATTTGCTCTTCATAGTAACCCATGAGGAAGGGACTATTCCTATTCCCTTTTGTAGATGAGGAGAAATTGAGCACTGAGAGTATTAGCTGAGTTGCCTAAGGTACATTACTAATAGGAGGCAGAGCTGGGATTTGAATACAGGCAGTCAGAGTACCGAGTCTTTTATATATTTTTTTTGAAAATACTGTTTTATTAACACCACAGTGGTAAACATCTTTAAGCTTATGTTTCTTTATAGATCACTGGCTCACACATAATTCAAAACCCACACAGAAGCTAAGAGTCTTTACATTAAATATATTCTTCCTAAAAATCCTTACTGTATGCGTCTGTCCTCAAGCAGTAAAATTTGATTATGCACCATTTTATAATATGTCACATTTACATAGCAAAATAATGAAGGCACAGCTAATACAAGCAAACTTAAATCCTTTCTACTTCTGAGCTGGGGGTAGGGGCACACACTTGGATTGGTTCTTCAAGTATGTATTTTTTCCAAACATTAGCTTCAGTGAAAAGTTCTGATGATTTTCACAGCTACACCCTAAAAGCTACATGACAGAAAGACGTCACAAGGATCAAAGTACATAACACTGGATACACATGCTTTACAGAATTTGCTACATTCTACATCTCTTCAAGTAAATTAATATTTCTAAAACACTAGGTAAAGTGATTTAATACTTAAACATATTTGGGGTATTTTTTACGTCTTTGTAAATAGACACTACTAAGAAAACACAAACATGAGATTATAACTAATGAATACATATGTTGACAGTATTTTACAGGTTTTACACCCTCCTTCTTGGAACCATGTTGTTCTCTAAATTCAAATACTCAAACATTTTTCAGAACTTGAGATGGCAGTTTTCCTGGCCTTATTAACAGTAATGTCATGATCTCCATTGCAGTCTTCCTCAGTGCCATCAATCTCCTGTGAAGTGTAAAGCTGATGTCTGCGTTACAAAAGCAAAGTCTCAAAGATGACGTTTTTCTTGGGGTCTGCCTTCTCTGCACAGCGAAATGTCATGAGTAAAGAAATTTAAGAATTAAGCACTGAAAACGTGTTCAGTCATGGCCTGGGTGTTCCATGTGTAGCGTATGCTGTGTGATGAATGGGTTTCAAAGTGACGTTCTTTACTTCGCATCTACTAACACCCTTTGTAAACCTCAATCCTCATAGAAGAGACCATGAAAACATAATTTTGGGTTTAATTCGGTTTTCTTTAACACCTTTTGATATATTTATTATGTTCAAAATGAAAAATTTGAACCGAGCTGGCCAGGATCTAATTGCTTCAATGTAATCTATTTTAGGAATGTCAGAATAAATTCACATTGTATTTTGGTCAAAAACCTGAGCCTTTTTAAGTCCACCAATATTCTGGGAAAAACAAAACCAAGCTGTTTTCTTCGTGGGCTTTCTCTTCATCCATCTCTGCCCCCCTTACTTCTTGGCGTCATCAGGCATCTCGGCGTGGGCATCGTCATGTTTGGCCCCCGCGGCAGCCTCTGCTGCAGCCTCCTCCTCCTCCTCCTCTTCCCCCTCCTCCTCGTCATCCTCGTACTCCTCTTCCTCCTCCTCCTCCCCCTCCAAGGTCCATGCACACCCCTCCATCTCGCCGGTGAGCTCTTGGATCTTGGCGAGTAGGGGCTTATAGATGTCATTATACTTTTTTTCCAGAGCCTGAAATTCCTTATCAAATTTGGCTTCTATCTTATCGCATCGCTTCTGCAGCTTTTTGAGGGCCAGGACTCGGCATTTCACCGAATTAGGCAGGCTCTCGATAAAGTCATTTTTCGGCTTTTGGGCATTCTCTGCAGGGGTCTGGGGCTCCTCAGCCATCTGACCAGCCGCGCTGTCAGGGTCACCAGCCGCGCTGTCACAGTCTCCACCCTGCGCACCGCCTTCCGCCATTACCTCCTCCGCCGCTGCCTCCGCCGCTGCCGCCGCCTGGCTAGGCTCCGCAGGCCCCTGGTTTTCCGAGTCGGCCATGTTAGAGGAGAAGCCGCAGAGGTCTAGGAGGGATCCCGCAGAGGCCCTGCACCCGAGCTGGTCCAGAGAGATCTTGCGGATGCGGCAAGTGGCGGTGACGCGCGGCCGCGGGAATGACGTCGGCCGCGGCCCCGCCCCCTGCTTTTGCGGCACTTGACTGGCTCCCCAGTATCAGCTGACGGCCGTGCGCTCATACTGCACCAGATTCCTCCTGTTGCTACCCTGACGTCTCCTGGGCCCTCAACACCAGCCTGTTGGACAGACACCCTGTTCCCAGCCCACCCATGTACCCACCCCCTGTAGAGCTGGGCTGGGAGTGTCAGTGCCGCCCGAGGTGCTTCTTCAGGAACTGCGTAGATGGCCTCAGCTTGTTTTCCGTGTGTTCCTCACCCCCATCCAGGCCCTTCTACAAATGCTAGTACATAACGTCTTCGCTTACCTCTGCATCTCTCTCCATAGCTGGCATTTGATGACCTCTTAGATTCCTCCACATTCCTCTCCAGGCAGTGGAGGAACGGGCAAGCTGGCTCCATTCTACACTTTTGGGGACCCGGGGAGCATGTGTGTGGATAGGGCAGCTTGCATATCCAAGCTCTGTACCTGTATGTCCACCCAACACCTCCTTGGCCATCCCACACACCTGGCGACACATACCCTGGTGGCAAGGTTGTCTCTCAGCAGGACACCCCTGGAAGCAGTTTTGGAGTCATTTGGGTAGGAAATCTTAGAGCTCCCAGTGTCCTGGTGTGTGTTCTAGAAGGTTCTACAGAATCTTTGACCTGTGGGAAGTACTAAAGCTTCAGGAGGGCTGAAAAAAAGCAAGTCTCTCTAAAGCATGGGGCCCAGGGCCAAGGCCCCCTCTTATCTTGGTTAAAGCGTGTGCCATCTATCCCACCCTGCTCACTTTCGTCTTCCCAGTCTTCCCCCAACACCATCTGCTTTCCTGCCTTCCCCATTATCTGTTTTCACACCTTTCCTTGCCACCATCTTCTCCCTCCCTCCTGCCCCTCCCCCGCACTGTGTTATGCCCCACCATCTGCCCATCTTCTTCCCCCCTTCTTCGCCACTCACTGCCTTCTTCCTCACCTTCTCCCCTCCCTGCACTGTCCTTTTCCCCACCCCTTCACCCTCTTCTTCCCCACCCTCCTCACCCTCTTCTTCCCCACTCACCTGCCCTTCTCACCTCCCCCCGCCTGTCTTTTCTCCCTTTCTCTTCTCCACTCCTGCCTTCTTTCTCTCCCTCACACACTGTCCTTTTCTCACCCTCCTCTCTTCTTCCCCCACCCTCCTCACCCTCTTGCTTCCTCTCACTGCCTTCTTCCTCACCTTCCCCCCACCCGCGCCCTTTTTTTCCTCATTCTCCTGCTCTCTTCTTCCCCACCCTCTTCACCCTCTTCTTCCCCACCCTCTTCACCCTCTTCTCCCCATCTTCTCACCCTCTTCTTCCTATCTTCCTCCCTCTTCTTCCCCATCTACCTCACCCTCTTCTTCCCCTCCCCCAGCCCCACCCTCTTCCCACCCACCCACCCCCACCTTACCCACCACAGCTGCAAGTGCATGCCCACCCCACCCACCCCAGCCCCGTCTTCTTCACCCACCCACCACCCCTGACCCCGTCTTCTTCCCCCAGGCCCACCGTCTTCTTCGCCACCCCACCCCACCCCACCGCCCAGCCCACACTTGCCGTCTTCTTCCCCACACCCCACCCACCCACCCAGCCCCGTCTTCTTCCCACCCACCCACCCCAGCCCCGTCTTCTTCACACCCACCCACCCAGCCCCACCGTCTTCTTCACACCCACCCACCCAGCCCGGTCTTGCCCCACCACCCACCAGCCCCCGTCCTTCCTTCCCCCCACCCACCCAGCCCCGTCTTCTTCCCCACCCACCACCCAGCCCCACGTCTTCTTCCCCATGCTCTATCTTCTTCCCCACCTTCCCCCACCTTCCACCTTCTTCCTGTCTTTGCCCACCTTCTTCTCCACCTTCCCCGTGCCCTACCTTCCCCCACGGTCTTCTTACACACCCCTTCCCCCAACCTCTTCTTTTTCTTTTTTTCTTTTTTCTTTTTTTTTTTTTTTTTTGGCGATCTAAAATCTATCACCCAGGCGCTGGAGTGCAGTGGCCGGATCTCAGCTCACTGCAAGCTCCGCCTCCGGAGGTTCAAGCCATTCTCCTGCAACTCCCGAAGTAGCTGGGACTACAGGTGCCCGCCACCCCTGCCCGGCTAGTTTTTGTACTTTTAGTAGAGACGGGGTTTCACCATGTTAGCCAAGATGGTCTCGATCTCCTGTTTGTGTGTGATCTGCCACCGTCTCGGCCTCCCAAAGTGCTGAGATTACCGGTTTGACCACGCGCCCGGCCCCCAACCCTCTTCTTACCCTGCTTCCGCCTCCCGGGTTTAAGCCATTCTCCTGCCTCAGCCTCCCGAGTAGCTGGGACTACAGGTGCCCGCCACCTCGCCCGGCTAGTTTTTTGTACTTTTTAGTAGAGACGGGGTTTCACCATGTTAGCCAAGATGGTCTCGATCTCCTGACCTTGTGATCCGCCCGTCTCGGCCTCCCAAAGTGCTGAGATTACCGGTTTGAGCCACCGCGCCCGGCCCCCAACCCTCTTCTTTACCCTGCTCACCATCTTCTTAGTGGCTCACTGTCTTCTTCTCTACCTTCTTCCCCCCTCCCATATATCATCTCTTTTGATGGCTACAGCTACCTGGAGATTAGGAAGGATGTTTCTCATTTTACAGATAGTAAACTTAGAAGCAAATATGGTGAAATCATCTTACTGCATGTATCACTTAATTGGCAGATTCAGGGGCAGAAAAGAGGCCTTTTGACCCCTATAGTATGGAAGTTGTGACAGACTTTAAAAAAAAAAATCCCAAATTTTGGTTAAATTCACTTGACTAACTTAACCTGCTTAAAATATTCAGGGCATGCTCATCTTTCAAGATTTTTATTTTCCTGTCTCAACAGATCTTAAAACTTAGTGTTAAACTAGACTGTTTTTTAAAAAGTCTGGCTCATTGAGGTATCATTTACATAACAGTAAAATTTGCACTTTTGGGAGTGCTTTCACAAGTAAATACAGTAATGTAAGCACTGTAGTAATCAAGATATAGAACAGTAAATCGCCCCCTAAAGGTCCCTTGTGACCTTTCCCCAACATCCAGCCCTGGTGAGCACTGAGCTGTTCTCTGTCTCAATACTTCTGTTCTATCCAGAATGGCAGGTAAATTGAATTATATGAATGTAGCCTTTTGAGCCTGGCTTTTTTCACTAGCAGAGTACATTTGAGATTCATTCGTGTTGTTGTATATATTGGTAAATTTATTTTTTATTATTTTTTATTTTACTTTTTATTATTGGGTAGTATTCCCATTTGTGTTGTTTCCAGTTTTTCGTAATTGTGAATAATGCTGTGATCATTCATCTACAGGTTTCTCTATGAGCATAGACTTTTATTTCTCTTGGGTAGATACCTAGCAGTGGGATTGCTGGGTCATACAGTAAATGTATGCTTAACTTCATAAGAAGCTGCCACATTGTTTTCCATAGTGGCTTTAGTCTGTTTAGCAGTGTTGCTAGAAAGGAATACCGGAGGCTACAAGCTAGAAGGTTCAAGATTGGGCATCTAGGTGGTGAGTCTCAGGCTGCTTCCTGAGACTGTTGAGCTATTTCTACCAATAGTCTCTTAAGTGAAATCTAGATTTTTTCTGTCAAGCTCCTCAAAACTCTTCCAGGCTCTACCTATTTCCTAATTCCAAAGGCACATCTACATTTTTAGGTATTAGCTGTTGCAGTACCGTACTTCTTAGTACCAAAATCTGTGTGTCAGTGTTCTCCAGAGAAACAGAACTGATAGGGTGTGGGGCCAAGGGGAGCGGGGGCAGGGACGGATTTATTTTAAAGAATTGGTTCATGTGATTGTGGAGGCTGTCAAGCCTGAAATCTGTAGGATAGGCTATCAGGCTAGAAATTCTGGCAAGAGTTAATATTGAAGTCTTGAGTCCAAAGACAGTGTGGAGGCAGAATTCTTTCCTCTTTGGAGGACCTCAAGTCTTTTTCTCTTAAGGCCTTCAACTGATTGGATATGGCCTACCTACATTATGGAGGGTAACTTGCTTTAATCAAAGTCTATGAATTTAAATATTAATCCCAACTAAAAAAATATCTTAACAACATCCAGACTGGTGTTTGACCAAACAACTGGATGCCATAGCCTTGCCAAGTTGACTTATAAAATTAACTATCACAGTCTGTAATAAAAATTGTTGTGATGGCGTTTCTCTTGGGTAATTGTATCAGAAAAATGTCATTAGTTTAGTGTAATGGGTTTCAGAGAAGTGAGGTGTTATATATGGTGTGAGAAACTTTCAGTATCAATGATTAACATGTACAATAATCTTTTTACATTAGTGGCTTTAAGGATTGCAACTTACACCATTTTAAAAATGGGAAAAGAAAGGCTTACTAGTTAGATACAGATCATGGCAGAGCCTGGATTTGAACCCCTGTCTGCCTCACTTATTCACTGTATCACACCATTTTTTGGTTAGTTATTGGTATGAATGGTGAACATGTAAAAAGTATCTGCTTGGAGTAAACCCAATAATTCAAATGTAGCTTTATAAAGTGTTAAATTACAGTGACGGATAAGTAGTAAATAACTATCTTCATGATGTGAAGTTTTAAAATTGTTTTTAATCTAAAACACAAAAACTACATAGAATAATGTGACAAGTATTTGCATATATGATCCACAGTCAACAGGTATTTGCTTCAGATTTTTTAATAAAAGAAAAAAATTACTGATACCGCACAACTTCTTTTTGTACGTACCCTTAATTCCATTCCCCTCTTCCCACCCTTCTTTCTTACACAGACAAAACTCTTATGAATTTGATTTTTTTTAATGTTTTTATAATAAACATGTATATTAAAACAATTTTTTTTTTTTTTGGAGACAGAGTCGTGCTTTGTCACCCAGGCTGAAGTACAGTGGCGTGATCATGGCTCACTGCAGCCTTGACCTCCTGGGCTCAGGCGATCCTCCCACCTCAGCCTTCTGAGCAGCTGGGACTACAGGCATGCACCACCAGGCCTGGCTGATTTTTTGTGGGTCTCGTCGTGTTGCCCAGGCTGGTCTTGAATTCTGGGCTCAAGCCATCTGCCTGCTTCAGCCTCCCAAAGTGCTGGGATTATAGGCATGAGCCACCGCACCTGGCTAGACAAAGATCTTTTTACATTAATGTCTTTGTTTTTAAAAATGAACACTTAAACGTCTTACATATGCATATGTATAATTTCATACTCATAAGCAAAATCTTATATCCATAAACAATACGATAATACTAGCTAATACTTACAAAGCAGTTGTTATACACCAGCCTTGGTTTAAGCACTCTTACATGTATTCACTCATTTAATCCTAAAGCAGTTCTATGAGTTATCTACTCTTACTCTCCCCATTTTACAAATGAGGACACAAGAGGCATGGAGAAATTAAATAACTTGCCCAAGGGTCACAAGTTCTAAGTGACAGACCTACTACCTTTTATAAGTAGCATTGATTTAAGTGTTAAAACACAACTTACATAAATGCTGTCATATTTTACTGAACATGCAAATACTTGATTTTCACTCAGCATTGTTCCTGAGATTCTATTCATTTTGCTAAGTACAGATCGAGTTAATTCCATTAAAGTGCTCTGCTTTATGGTTTCCATCATATGACTCTACCATCTTTTCCTTGTCCATGTTCATATTAATGGATATTTAGTTTTATTTCTCTAAATTCTCTATATTACAAGAAAATGCTGCAATAAACTTCCCTGAAGTCATCTTCCTGTGCACATATGTTAGCATCTCTGCATTACCTGCCCGCTAGCACCGTAGCATGATCAAGGGTATTTACATTTTCACCTTCTCTAGGTATTCACAGAATTTCCCCCCAAAATGTTTATGTCTAGGTTCACAGTTTATATTTCCACTTGTGAGAGACTGAATATACCTACGGACAGTGGCCAGGCCATATATAAAAATGGAGCTGAGACCCACAGTCTGTAGCAACTTGCCCAGGAAACCAACCTCTTATCTGCAATAAGCAGCCCAGGAAGCCATCCTGCTGTAAGTCAGACTTGCAGGGAGCCTGATTGCCATCTCTCTTGATACCTTTTGTAACGGTGGGCCCAAATAGGCCAGGATGTGATTAATAAACAACAACTTCCTTAATTTTTGTTCCTACTTCCAACTTAGAACCAACCAGAGAAAGCCAAATATGCACCCTTAACCAGTCACATAGGATGCCCCACTTCTAGTTATAGCCCACCTGCAGCTTCCCCAGGCTAGCAGCCTCCAATCAGAGTGTACCTGAAGCCTTCCCTCTTTCCACTGTAAAGCTTTTCCACTCCTCTGCTTGACTTTGAGTCTCTTCCACAGCACAAGTGACAGTGGCAGACTCTCTTTCTATAGCAGCTCTGAAAAAGCCTTTGCTCTTTTCATTTGGTTGATCTTCATATATTTCCATGGTTGCGATATGTGGCTCCCATCATTTCAGTTTATCTTCCTACCAGCTGCCTATGAGGTTTCCGTTTTCCCCACACCTTCACCATATTGATATAATCTCGTTTTTAACCTTACACCTGTTTGATGAGTGCAAATGACAATTCACTCGTCTTCATTTGCATTTGCCTGATTATTAGTGAGATGGAGCCATTATTTGAGATGGTTCTTTCCAGACGTAAAGGTTTTATAAACAAGGAGTTATAAAATTAACCTTTTAAAATAGGTGAGGATATGAATGTCAAGTGGTTTAGCTTTATTTGTTTCTTAGGATAGGGAAAGTGGCCTAGAACTGTTATCTCAGACTTTTTATTTTAAGCAGAAAAAGTCTTATTTTTTCCACACTAAATTTTAAGCAGGACTTTTAACATGAAAACTGGAATACCTCAGGTAAAGCCAGTAGTTTAGTTCTACTTACCTGGCCTGCTCCCCTTCCTACCTGTCTTATCCTTCCTTGGATCATCTGAGGCACTTGGTGGAATGTTAGGGCTGGGGCTGGAGAGGGAGGAGAGGAGAGCTGGTAACCTATATGATGCTTTAGGATGCCTCCTGATGTGAACATTTGATGAAATTCCATTTTTTATCACTCCCAATCTCAGTGTAGAAGGGTAACTTCATAAGCTTTACAAGACTTTGAGCTAAATGTATTTGATTTCTTTTGTGTTCTGGCAGGCAGGAATTTGTGGATGCTTATGTCAATTATGTCTTCCAAATCTCAGTTCATGAATGGTACACAGCCTTCTCTAGTGGCTTCCTAAAGGTGTGTGGTGGCAAAGTCCTTGAGCTCTTCCAGCCTTCAGAACTGAGGGCTATGATGGTGGGGAACAGCAACTACAACTGGGAAGAACTGGAAGAGGTAAGCACAAAAGATCCTTTAACTCCTTTAACTTCGGAGAAGCAGCAGCAGCTTGGGGAGGTGTTCCCAGAGCCTGGTCTCGTTCCAAGCATATTGTGGTTGAGTTAGACTTAGAGGTGTCCTGTATCTGAGCACTTATTTCTTAGCCTCAAATGCAAATGATATATAATGTCCACTAAAATATTTTTCTAAGAGACATTTTTTTCTTTTTGTCTTTTTTGGACAGACTGCCATCTACAAGGGAGATTACTCGGCCACACATCCCACTGTAAAACTATTTTGGGAAACATTTCATGAGTTTCCATTGGAAAAGAAGAAGAAGTTTCTCTGTAAGTATCGGTAATCTCAATATGGTATTTGTCTACATTTTAGTCTTACATACAGTATAGGATGATAGGCTCCATGGCTGAGGCTTAACTCATTTAAATGGTAAAGATCAGGTAATTGTAATTCATTATATGTATGCTTTTTGTCTTAATGATATCTCAGACACAATATAGGTTGTTAGTCCAGATCTGTAGCCTAACAAGAGGGTTGCATGAAAGGAAGAAAAGAAGCATCTCACTGATTTTTCTTTTCTTTCTTTCTTTTTTTTTTGAGACAGAGTCTTACTCTGTTGCCCAGGCTGGAGTGCAGTGGTGTGATCTCAGTTAACTGCAACCACCACTTCCTAGGTTCAGGTGATTCTCATGCCTCAGCCTCCCAAGTAGCTAGGACTACAGGCACCTGGCAGCATGCCTGGCAGATTTTTGTATTTTTAGTAGAGATGGGGTTTCATCATGTTGCCCAGACTGGTCCTGGTCTTGAACTTCTGACCTCAAGTGATCTGCCTGTTTTGGCCTCCCAAAATGCTGGGATTACAGGTGTGAGCCACCACGCCCAGCCTGATTTTTAAATTATTCTAAAAATACTAACTATTTTATATATAAGTTATTCAAATATTACATTTATGAAGTCAAATTGTTTGGATTAACCTCTCTTACCTCTCTAGCCTTTAAAATATATTACAAAGTATCCAGATGCAACTGGGAAGGTGTGATTTATAGCAGCTTTACTGGGATATAATCTGTGTGCCATACTCATTTAAAGTGTGTACTTCAGTGGTTTTTTAGCATATACACACAGTTGTGAAACGATCACACAGTTAATTGTAGAATATGTTCATAGCCTCAAAAAAGAAACCCCATACCTATTAGTGGTCATTCTCCATATCTCTCCCACCAGTCTTTCTGTCTCTATGGATTTGCCTATTCTGGACATTTCATGCAAATTGAATCATACAATATGTAGACTTTGGTGACTGGCTGAATGACGTTTGAGAAAGGTAATAATACCTTTGGAAAGGAGAATGAATTCTAATTTACATGAACAAATTTAGCCTTTTAAAAATAGTGGAAATATCTCTCAGTTTGTGTCTGTGTATAATCAGTGTCAGAAATTAGCTAGTGCATACTATGGAATTTTAGTCATATAAAACCAAAGCATGGGGTTTGATAGGCAGTCTATTTTGCTTTATAAGACTGGGCATATATTAGTATTAATGTAGGACTTACCCCCAGGTTCTGTTGCTCACACTGGAGCAAGGATGAGAGGAAGTGGAGATCTTACACAAGAACTCTTAGAAAGGAGGACCACCTCTCCTCTGCCTGGCCGCGTTGGCTATTGAGAAGCAGTAGTGGAAGAACTGAAGGACAGGTTAAGGTTTGCCGAGTGAGCTTATAAGGCTGTGACATTCAAGAGATGCCTGCTCATGGTCCTGGGATTTCCCTAGAAAATGGCACTTTCTATTCATTAGACTTATGGAAATGTTTGTTAACTCTGGAGATTTTTGGCAAGAAAGTTTATGTAGCATAGCCTCAGGGAATGGCAGGTTATTTGAAAATGCTTCTTAACTAATGATTTTCTTATAGTAATTTCCAGCAATTCAACTATGAGAATGTTGTTCAGCACTAGAAAACAAGGAAAGTCAGCTGGCTCTCTTTCTCTATCTCCCTCTCTCTCTTTTGCCATGTCACAGTGCATGTCACAGGAGTGCAATGTCTAACATAATGTTTGGGTCAGCTCTTCTGGTTTAAGAAAAATGGAGACATGGAAAGGAGAGCAAATAGATCCTAAATGGAATTCCATAGACAAGGTGGTACAGGCATCAGGCATTTCAGGTGAGAGGAGACCCTGAGGTCAGAGACTTCAGTCTTCTGCCTGGTTTCCCCCTGAGATCAGCTGCTCTTTTCCTATGACAACAATTCCTTCCCTCTTTGATTTTGGGAAATCTCCTAAAATTTGTGAGGGCGTACATTTGATTGAGGCCTTTTTTTTTTTCTTAAGTGCATCTAAGCATCATTCCACAGGATGCATATTGGCACATAAATGTAATTGTACTTCTCATGCAAGCCACAGGGTGTCATGCCTTCCTCTCCTCTTGCTAGAAGGACCTCTGAGATCCATTTTCCATTTCTTTAGCTCCTAATGCCATTTCTCGTTCTCCCCAGTGTTCCTGACAGGCAGTGATCGGATTCCCATCTACGGCATGGCCAGCCTGCAGATTGTCATCCAGTCCACAGCCAGCGGGGAGGAGTACTTGCCAGTGGCCCACACTTGCTACAACCTTCTTGACCTCCCCAAGTACAGCAGCAAAGAGATTTTGAGTGCCCGGCTGACCCAGGCCCTTGACAACTATGAAGGGTTTAGTTTGGCCTGAGGCTCCTCAGCTTGTCCAATATTTCCCTTCCTTCCTCAATGTCCACATTGAGACCTATACAGAAAATCATGGGGAGTGATTTCTATTTTTTTATTGTCTAAGTGGGTTGGGACTTTAAAATCCTGAGCCTGGTTGATGTGTTTCTGGGATTGTATAGCAGTAAACAACCTTTTTGAAAAATTAGGGGTTGGGGATGGGGTAAAAAATTGGCCCTTGTATGGGAGGTGTTTTTGTTTGTTTTGTTTTAAACCAAACTACCCAGTATTCCTTGCACTTGTGAATGTGTTGCACTCTGCTGGATGAAATGGCAGTGGATTTTTAAACTTTCATTTCCCAAATATCTCTCTCAGCCCTGATCTTTTCTCACAATGCTTCCTTGTCCTTCTTTTAACTTCTCATTCCTCTATGAGAATGATTTAGACTGATCCGCCCTTTCTTATCTGCGCATGCAAGAACATCACCTTCCTCTGTACACTTGGGAATGCCTCTGGCTTGTTGCAGCCCTCCTTTAACCCAAAGGAGGAAAGGACTACTTCAGAATCTCCCAATTCCAAAAAGCTGACTCTGGGTCCATTATTTTGGCAGAACTCCTAAGAATTTATGGGAGCCTATATAAACATATCTTGCTTTTAAAAAGTTCTTGAGGGAATAGCAACTTTCCCATGGCTGTGCCTATTTCCTAGACCTTTTAAAAGATGTGCAGAGCAGCTTAGCATTCATTGTAGCTGAGCCTAATTTTGTTTTCTTGCTCATCCTTTTCCCTTTGACAATGAGGTTAATTGATAGACCCATCACCCCTTCCGCTCTCGCTTTTGGAGCAAATTGCATTAACTATTTTGAGTCTCTATATTGTCCAAGAAAAGTAGAAATAATAAATTTACTTTCCCCTTTTCTATCACCTTATGTCCTCTACTATTTTCTCCTTGCTCCCTTCCCTAATTTTCTCCTTTTCATACCCTGCTTCCTCCCTGATTTTCCTTTCGTTTCTTCTTTATTTTATCCCATTCTTTGTTACTTGACTCAGTGCTCCCTTCCTCTCCTCTCCTAGTGGATGCATGCAGCCTTTTTTTCAATTTTTATTTAAATTGCAAAATTTTTACTCAGATTTTTTTCCTCTTCCCTAATTGCTAAGATTTAAGGACGTTCTTTATTATGAAACTTTATCACATTCGAAATGTTTGTTTACAGTGGGATTTTAGGGGGGATTGTGTTTAAATCAAATATATGTATTTTAAAAATAATGACATGCTCAACCTTCCTCATCATGGAGTAAGAAAATTCTACATGATTAAAGAATCCATGTAAGTCTAATTTTAAATTCCTGGTAACTAGAGAAAAGACTTATTTATATAAAATGAAGTATTTATGAACTGTGATAAAGCATCAAATCTTGATGAAGGATTGTAGATTTTTGCTTTTTTTGTTTTTAAAACTTATTCCAATTGCTAAATTGGTAGTTTTTCAGTCTTTATAAATACAGGATTAAAAATATATATACAGTTATATGAAATGTTTATTTTCTATGTGTGTGCATATAGTTCAATATTATGCAATAAATTTGGTGTTTTAACTTAAAACTATTTCTTATTGTACTTGCAGAATGGATAGATTGCTTTCAATAGAAGCATTAGGTCATACACTCAGATAATGTAATAGAAGGTCAGATTCGATTCCTGTATAAGAAAGTAGAGCCAAGTGCTGCAGAAATGGAGAAGAAAGCAGGGGCAAGGAGCAGATGGCATTAAGGAAGAATGAAGTTTCTGAAGGTTGGGATGGACAAAAAGGTGTTTCTCAAGGAGAGGGAGGCTTTAGCAAAGGCTCAAACATTGGGGCATATTTAGGCACGAGTGAGGAACAGTTTGAAGGGAACATCAGAGGAAATAGACAAATAATAGTAAACAATGGTAAGTAAGACTTGGGAGAAAGAAGGTAGATTTGGGGCTGAGGAACTAGCCTAACAGTGGAGCTTTAGTAGTGGCCAAGTAGGATTTGTTTCAGTGTTCAGAACCTGAGGGTGGTAAGACCTGAGCTGGGTCTTAAGAAGGAAAATGTAGATAGTCTAAATCTGGAGGTATTGAGGTGGGAAGGACTGAAGCAGAAAGACAGGAGCTGAGACAGCAGTGACAGACAGTGGCAGCAACAGAACTAGATAAGAGTGTCTGAGGAGAGGTAGGGGGAGTGAGGGGAGGGGCTAGGAGCCTGCAGGGAGAAGGAGGTGCTAAAAGTGGATCAGAGACTGGTTCATTTAATGATTGGTAATTGTTAGGCCACTTAAGCACACCAAAAGTTTGTGAGACACAGTTAAAAAAAAAACCAAACAAACAAAAAAAGGATTTTAAGTAAATTAATAAAGGAAGTAAAATGTATTGTTTTGCCAGATTAAATAGGTGGTTTAAAGGTGGTAAAGAGAATAGGAGCTTTCCATTAATAACCTCTATTTAACAAACATTTAATAATCTACATAAGTGCTACATTTGAGGGGTTAAAAACAAACCCCACTACATTTAATTTTGCGCAGAAATTGCCAAATTATTTTAACTAACTTTGAGGCCTCAGAATTCTCATCTGTGAAATAAGGAGATTGGATCAGATAATTTCTAAGGTCACTTTGAGCTCTAAAATTGTATAATTCCATTACTGAGAAAGTGCCTGAACATAGAGATACCCAATACATATTTCTAAAGATTTGTTGCATGAATGAAATCTTGTGCTGCTTCTAAAACACTATGATTTTTCTGAGATAGTTTCCTTTTCCCCTTCATTACCAGTGCTTTAGAAGACTTACTTCTGCATAGGCATTTCTGGATTTGCGTACCCACCTACCAACCTTCCCTCCCCTGAAAACTTTTCAGATGCTTCTTCACTGTTTTAGTCATTTACCACTTTAATGAATTCTCTGGCAACTTTATTGTGATGGGTGGGGATCAATGACAGTGTAATGAGGCAATTACCAAATTCGGATAGTTCCATCTACTATGTGTGAAAGTCTCTTGATGTTTTATATGGTACTCTTATCAATAATCCCAGAGAGCAGGGGTTGGCAAACTATGGCCCATGGGCTAAAATGGTTTTTACATTTTAAAAGGGTTGAAAAATGTAAAAATGGAAGGATACATGACAGAGACTGAATGGCCTACAGTGCCTGACATATTATCTAGCCCTTTACAGAAAAAAAATACCAATCCTTATGAGACCAGACTTGCAAAAATCACAGTAACAGAGGGAAAAACCTTCCTGAAGTGTTAGGAGGAACTTGAGTCATAATTTGATGTTGAATCAGAGAGAACAAGTGTTTGGGCTTATTTGCCTCAGAGGTAAGAAAATCAAGTTTTAACTAAGATTAATCCACAGAAGTTGATATTAATACTAAGGTTTCGACCTAATAATAACTAACCTGTATTAATTGTGTGCAGTGTACCAGACCCGTTATGAGATCCCACACCAACATTTGCTATGCACTAACTAGTTTAATTGCCACCACCAGGGTCCTCCTGGCTCTGCTATTTACTAGCTGTTCGACCTTGGGCAAGATTCTTAACCTCTCTCTGTGTCTGATTTTCTTCCTTTTCAAAATGAGAATAGAAATAGTGCCTACTTCATGGAGTTGTTGTGAGGATTAAATGAATTAATGGAAAACATAGAATAGTGCTTAGCACATAATAAGCTCTCAGTAATTAGAATTACCATTATTATCCATTTTTCACATGAAGGAATTAATGTTTAGAGAAAATAGTTGCTCATTACCACAAAATAGTGGGACCTAAACTTGACCATTAATCTGTGTTATGCCCAGCTGCTAGAGATGGGCAACAAATTGGACTAAGGCTGCTCAGTAGCCAAATAAAAAGGAATGTTGTGATGTGGCAGGTAACTTCTTTGACCACATATCTGCAAAGACATCGCCCTGAGTTCCACATATCTGCAAAGACATCGCACTGAGTTTTGTTTTGCTGCCAGTGTGCAATTCAGTAGTGACCAGTGCAGTTCTCTTGAGACTGGAGGTCTCTGTTGGTAGTTAGTAGCCAGGAACCAGGTATGCTTAATGCCTTGCCTTGCATAGAACAATTCCTCTTTATCCTGCCCAAGATGCCAGTGGGCACCGCTATGGTTTGACTGTTTGTTTCCCTCTTAAAATTTATGTGTTGAAACCTAACCCCCAAGGTGATGGTATTAGGAGGTGAGGTCTTTGGGAGGTGATTATATCATGAGGGAAGAACCCTCATGAGTGGTATTAGTTTCCTTATAAAAGAGAACCCAGAGAGGTGCCTTGCCTTCACTACCATGTGAGGACACAGCAAGAAGGCACAATCTGTGAGAAAGTAGGCCCTCGCCAGACACCACCAGTGCCTTGATCTTGGATTTCCCAGCCTCCAGAACTGTGAAAAATAAATTTCTGCTGTAAATTACCTAGTGTTTGGCATTTTGTTATAGCGACTTGACTAGACTAAGACAGGCCCCTTTGTAAAACACTGAGAGAGGGATGGACTTCATACCCTTTAGGGGATCCTTCTCTGTAGAGTTCTTTTTTTCAGAAGACTAATTTTTTTCTTTCATTAATAGGCTTTTTATTTTTGAATACTTTTTTATTGGTACTAGTTGCACATATTATGGGGTGCTTGTGATATTTTGATACAAGCATACAGTGCATAATGATTAAATCCGGGTAATTAAGATATCAAAAACATCTATCATTTCTTTTTGTTGGTTACATTCCAAATCTGTTAACTATTGTTAAATGTGCAATACATTATTAGCTATAGCCACCCTATTGTGCTATCAAACACTAGAACTTATTCCTTCTATCTAACTGTATTTTTGTACCAATTAACCAACCTCTTTTTATCCCTCTCCTCCTAGTATTTGCCCAGCCTCTGGTAACTATCATTCTATTCTCTACCAACTTTCTTAGCTCCCACATATGAATGAGAACATGCAATATTTGTCTTTCTGTGCCTGGCTTATTTCAGTTAACATCGTGACCTCCAGTTGCATCCATGTTGCTGCAAATGGTAAGATTTCATTCTGTTTTCATGACTGAATAATATTCCCTCATGTTTATAGACCAAATTTTCCTTATCCATTCCTCTGTTGATGGATACTCAGGTTGAATCTATATCGTGGTTATTGTGAACAGTGCTGTAACAAACATGGTAATGCAGATATCTCTTTGACATACTGATTTCCTTTCAAATTTTGGATATATATACAGTAGTGGGATTGCTGGATCATAGAGTAGATCTATTTTTAGTTTTCTGAGGAATCTCCATAGTGTTTTCTATACTGGCACTAATTTACATTCCCACCAAAGGGTGTGAGCATTCCCCTTTCTCTGCATTCCTGCCAGTGTCTGTTATTTTTTATCTTTTAGGTAACAGCTATTTTAACAAGGATGAGATGGTGTCTCACTGTGGTTTTGATTTTCATTTCCCTCATTATTAGTGATATTGAGTATTCTTTCAAATACCTGTTGGCTATTTATATGTCTTCTTTTGAGAAATGTCTATTTAGATCCTTTGCCCATTTCTAAATCACATTTTTTTTTTACTCTTGAGTTGTTTGAGTTCTTTATACATTCTGGTTAACCTTTTATTGGATAGATAGTTTGCAAATATCTCCTCCCATTCTGTAGGTTGTGTCTTTACTCTGTTGATTGTTCCCACTCCTGTGCAGAAGCTTTTTAGTTTTATGTAATCATATTTATCTATTCTTGCTGTTGCTGCCTGTGCTTTTGAGGACTTACCCAAAAGATCTTTGCTCAGACCAGTGTCCTGAAGCACTTCCTCAGTGCTTTTCTTCTAGTAGTTTTATATAATAGTTTCAGGTCTTAATTTATTTCATCCATTTCAATTTGGTTTTTATACATAGTGAGAGGTATGGAATCTAGTTTCATTCTTCTGCATATGGATATCCAGTTTTCTCAGCACCAGTTATTGAAGAGGCTGTCCTTTCTCCAATGTATGTTCTTGGTACCATTGTCAAAAATGACTTGACTGTAAACGTGTGATTTTATTTCTAGGTTCTCTATTCTGTTCTATTGGTCTTTGTAGGTGCCTGTTTTCATGCCAGTACCGTGTTGTTTTGGTTCGTATGGCTTTGTAGTGTTTTTTTTTTTTTTTTTTTTTTTTGACACGGAGTCTTGCTCTGTCACCCAGGCTGGAGTGCAGTGGCATGATCTTGCAAGCTCCACCTCCCAGGTTCATGCCATTCTCCTGCCTCAGCCTCCTGAATAGCTGGAACTATAGGTGCCTGCCACCACACCCAGCTAATTTTTGTATTTTTATTAGAGACGGGGTTTCACCATGTTGGCCAGGATGGTCTCAATCTCCTGACCTCATGAGCCACTGCATCCAGCCTGAAGTATATTTTTAAATCAGGTAATGTGATGCCTTCAGCTTTTTTTTCTCAGGGTTGCTTTGGCTATTAGGAGTATTTTGTGATACATATGAATTTTAGAATAGTTTTTTTTTTTTATTTCTGTGAAGAATTTTGTTGGTATTTTAATAGGGCTTGCATTGAATCTATAGATTGCTTTGGGTACCATAGATATTTAACAGTATTAGCTCTTTCAATACATGAG